AGTAAAAATACTGAGGTGAAGTTGAGGGGAAAATATTTGAGTCCCATAGAATGAAGATATTCTTTTTTTTTTTTTTAAAGATTTATTTATTTATTTATACAAGCACTGGGTACAGCCAGAAGCGCGGGAGGGTGAGAGAATTCACCAGAGCCAGAGCAGAGAGCAGAGCAGGCAGAAGGACCGAAGTTCACCGCTGAGGGGAGCAGCGGGGCAGGGTAGGTCCACGCGCCATGCGGGACCCCTCCTCCGGTGGCCGGGGAGTAGCCGGGGATCGAACCGGCGCCGCAGAGGCTGCGGGCAGCTTCGCAACCCAGCGCTCAACCGCCGCGCCACCGGGGAGGCCCAGAATGAAGATATTCTTAAAAAAATTATTTATGCATACAATAACTGGGGTGTAGGCCAGAGGTGCAGGGGTGAGAGGATTCGAGGGGAGCAGCGGGTGAGACAGGAGAGGTCTGCTGCACCATGTGGATCACCTCCCTGGCCGGGGATTGAACTTGTGCTGCAGTGGCTGATGATAGTTTCATAGTGCTGACGCTTAACCCTTTGCACCACCAGGGAGATCCCCCAAAATAAATCTTTAAGGAAAAAAGAAATGAAGATCATCCTTGGGAAATGCCTTCCTGTGCCTCAGGATTTCAGTGCATCAAACCCCAATCTCCTTCCCCCCCACACACATCCTCTTCCACCTCCCACCACCCCCTGCTTTCTTGATGGCCTTTCAGTGAGATGACACTTCTGGATTTGCCTTGAGAGAACCACCTACATACAAGACTCTTCCCTGCCTCCTGCCTTTTCTCCCAGCTATGTGTCTCTGTGGAGCAGATCAGCGCTTGAATGGGCGCTGATCTGGAAGCTCTGAGGCCTGTGTGGGGGAGGCAAGCTTAGAAAACAAGAGGCAAGGAGCTGGAAAGCACAGTGGCCTGTTTCAGACTTCCTGGGGGGCTGACCCTGTGCTGCTGTGACAAGAGCTGTTATCCCATCTGCCTGTGCTCCTCCTTGTTCTCGACGCGGCTTCTGACAAAAACTAGAAAGTCTGACCCTGCCTTCCCTTGACTGGCTGGATGAGTGAATTGCACGAGCCTGTCAGAACGCAGGACTTTTGTGCTTCATGCCCTGTGGCTTCCCGAGGGCTGCCGTCACCCTCAGCCTCACCTCTGCTGTTGTTTCTGACTCTCCCTGGCCAGTAGTGTCTGGTGGTGTGAGGGACACACAGGGGAGGCGCGTGGGAGCACTAGAGAGGAGAAGATGATGTGGAGACAGGACAGGGCCACTGCACTGAGTTTGTGGTGTGGCGCTAACTCCCAGGAGGCCATTTTAAGCTGGCAAAAACCACAACCCATTGGGACAGAGTCACTGATTGATAAGTAGTTTTAGCTGTCACTTGCCTTTTCTGGACAGAGATTCTTTTCAAACTCCCTACCCCTTCACCTCCACCCTCTGCTGATGCTTGTTTGTTGACATGGATTGTTTTGTCTCCAGTTCAGTTTTTTAAATCAATGGCTTCTGAATGTCAGCCTACAGTAGTTCTGCCAGGATTGCGTGGTAAAATGCCTCTCCCCTTTCTCAGGGATTCTGGGTCAGTAGATCTGGGTGGATGCTAGGAATCTGCATTTTATTTTGTATTTTTTTTTAAGATTTATTTATTTATGCATACAAGAACTGGGGTGTAGGCCAGGGGGCGGGGAGTGAGAGGATTCACCAGAGACAGAGTGGGAAATAGAACAGGCGGATTGACTGAAATACACTGCTGAGGGGAGCAGCGGGCGAGACCAGAGAGGTCTGCTGCATGATGTGGGTTGCTCCCAGGCTGACTAGGGATGGAACTCGTGCTGCAGAGGCTGCAGAGGGCTTCATAGTGCTGTGCTTAACCCCTTGCGCCACCGGAATATGCATTTTAAACAAACATTTTAGGCTGGTCAACCACGGGTGTAACTTGGAAACCACGCTGGGCGCCAAACTGTTGTAGAACAACCCCGATACAAAACGGGGTGCCTGACTGTGGGTCCTCACCCGCGCGCTTAAAAGGACTTATCAATGCTCTACGCGAAAGGTTAATAAAAGGTTTATTTACAAGGGAAGGGGAAATAAGAAAATGTACAGCTCAGGGAAAAAAGTGGAAAATAAAGTTTTATGTGAGTCCTACCCGATCCGCCGATCAGGAATCCCAAAAATGGCGCTCTGAGAGCTGGCCACAAGCCAGGAGCCCTGAAGCCAGGAAGCAAGCGATAGCCAGCCAGCCCAAGGCCCACGTGTTTGGTTTTTATATCCAACCTGGCTGCCCAACTCCACCCTCAGGTCCCAGCCACCCTCCCCTTTGGTGGTGATGGGATTTGTCTTTCCCAATGTCTTGATGGCTTTAGTCTGGAGTGGGGGTGGCGTCCACAAAGCCTGTATGGGATTAGCTCAGGACATCCTTTCCCCCTAACAATTCAGTGGACCACGCTCCCCAAAAGACTGTGTTAGGTTTTGTTCCAGTTTCCATTTGGCCCAATTTTTGAAATAGCCTCTTTCTGCTGCAGGCTGTTTTAATCACTTTCTTTATTGAAGGATTTATTAGCATCTGCATGTTTACCACCTGTCTCGTTCTCACATCACAGTAACTAGAGAGGGGACCAGAGGTGGCTGGCTCCATTTTATTGGGGTGAGGTGGTAGGAGGTGGGATTGAGGCCAAGGTCACTGTGAGTCAGAGATGGAGGTAGGGACTGAAGAGCAGAATTGATGACTCTCAAACCAGCAATTTTCTGAGGCCTAATTTCCCAACTTGTGATTTCTTGTGTAATCATAGTTATTCCTTAGGTGTCCGATTCATTGTGCTTGGGTACGCAAAGCGTGTCTGAGTTTTACACAGAATAGCTTAACATCAGTGTGCTAATTTTTGTTCGTTTATATCCATGCTGGATGATAATATGTGTGGAACTGACAATGTGTTTTTCTCTGTGCTTGTTGCCTTTATCATCTCTGAAGACTTTACATAAAGGATAAGAACAGGGCCTCCCCGGTGGCCTAGAGATTAAGTCTTAGCACTATCCCTGCTTCAGCCTGAGTTTGATCCCCGGCCAGGGAGCTAACCCATTTATAGCGCAACAGACTTCTCCTGTTTTGCCGCTGCTCCCTTTAGCAGTGTATTTCAGTAGAACTGCCTGTTCTGCTCCCCACTCCGTCGTCTCTGGTGAATCCTCTCAACCCCCACGCCTCTGGCCTACACCCCAGTTCTTATGTGCAAAAATAAATCTTAAAAAAAAAGCTCAGCTTCTTTTGCGTTCCATAAGCCTATGCTGCCAAGTGACCTAGGATACCTCTATTTTCTCACCTTTTTTGTTAGAACTAACATATGGAGTTCTGTGATGCCACTTGGGTTTCATTTAGTGCACAAAAACATTATTTTCATTGTCAACACACCTGTTCTTTATTCATCCCAGAACAATAAAAGCAACACTGAACCATACATGCAAATGTAGGCACTGAGTGTGTGGCAGTACTGGGTTATAAAGTGGTCATTCAAATCACCCAGACTATACTTATGCAAATCTACAAAATAGTCAAATTAAAACCATTGAGAACACATCCAGACCTCATCAGAGCAGTACTGTTCAGGTCCACTGGTTACCAAACTTTCACTTAATCAAACTCTGCTTACTTCCAGGAAAAGAAAATGTCTGTGTCTTAAATTGCAGTTATTAACTATTTTACATTTATTTAATTAGACACAAAGAATTAGCATTTCAGAACTTGTGATCACCGCATGCAGTTAGCACTCTTAAGTTGTTGACTGTCCAAAAAAAGCAAACAGAAAGACAGGACATTCCGGTTATTCTATGCTGCCTAATAACAAGGGCAAACGAAAACTTCCTATTACGTTTTGTGAGAAAGCATTCCTATGCCCTCACCTCCTCCCTCAGCTGCCAGTCCCTGAGTTCTGGGGAGGCCGGTTTAACCTTTCTCGTACAAGCTAAGTAGCCACTGCACCCAATTTGGAAGTATGAAAGCTTGTTCTAGATGGGCTTGATTGTTGTACTTCCAGCATGCTAAAGACCTAAAAAATGGGAGGAAGAAAATACAACAGAAGGCACCATTCCAGTACCAAACTGAAAAGAAACACAAAAACAAGAGAACAGCATGTTTTTAACAGCTTGCAGGGAGAAAGCGGAAAAAATACTGACTGGGGAGTTTGGACAGCCGGGTTCATTTTCTCTCCCGCCCGCAATATTTGTCTTACAGAGCAGGAGCCAGATAAAATTCTGACGCACGGGCCCAAGGAAGAGGTGGAGGGCTTCCGTGGAAGCTTGAGGGTAGAGCCTCGTGGGGGAAATTAGCGCCCGGGCCCTAGAGATTCAGGGTGGGGAAGAAGTCGGGAGAGGCGCTGCCTCTTTCCTCCTGGCCTTGGGCAGCCTTTGCTCCTGAGTCCTAAAAGGGCACAGCACACACCACTCAGGCAGGTTCCTGACCCCTGCGGACCCCAAGTCGGATGACTCCGGGTGCTTGTCTTTTTCGGTTGAGGGAAGGACGCGGGTGCTCCATGCGCTTTCCAAGCCCTCCATTCTTTTTTTTTAATTTTATATATTTTTTACATCCTTTTTCATTTTTGCACAATGTATGCATTTGCATCTTGGCTATAGTTCCCATACAATTCCCAACCCCCTTATTTTGACCCTAATCCCTCCTAATTATAAGCTCCCCATGCTAACGGAGCTCAGACCTACATTTCCCATCACCTGGGACTGGCGGGAGGCAGCTGGGCTGAAACTGCAGGACCCCACCTGCGCGGGGCGGGGCCGGAGCGCAGGGAGGGGCGGGGCCAGGTCGCGGGGCGGGTCGCGGGGCGGGGCCGGAGCGCGGGGCGGGGCGGGGCCAGGTCGCGGGGCGGGGCGCGGGTTGCGGGGCGGGACCGGGGGCGGGGCCGGGCGCGGGGCGGGGCCTGGGGCGCGGGGCGTGACCGGGGCCGGGTCGCGGGGCGGGGCCGGGCGCGGGGCGGGGCCGGGCGCGGGGCGGGGCCGGGGCGCGGGGCGGGCGGCGGCGACCAGCCGGAGGAGAAAGAACATGGCGGGCGCAGCGGGGCCCGGGACCGGCCCGGGGGCGGCGGGCGGAGATGGAGACGATTCGCTGTACCCGATCGCGGTTTTAATCGACGAGCTCCGCAATGAGGACGTGCAGGTGCTGGGGTCGGGCTGGGAGGCGGGCGCGGCGGGGCGCGCGGGCGGGCCGGGGCGGCCGGCGTCGCGGCGGCGGGCCGGGCTGGAGGGAGCCGGGCTCCCCTCAGACGCCGGCGGGGAGGAAGGGGCGGCCCGGGCGGCTGTGCTGGCTCGGCCCGACCCCCCGGGGCCTCCCCGGCGCCCCTCCGTCAGCCCCCGGGGCCCGGCGCGGCTCCCCGCCGGGTCCGGGGCGGTTGTGGGGGGCCCGGCCTCCTCGGGCGCCGGCGGGGCGGGAGCGCGGCAGCCCCGGGAGGAGCGGCGGGCGCGCGGCGGGCGCGAGGGCCGGGCCAGGTTGCTGCTCGGGGGGCCCCGGGGCGTGCAGGCGAGCGAACGCCTCCCGGGCTTGGAAACTGGCCGGGCTTGGGTGGGAAAAGGGTGCAGGGGAGTCGTTGTTGCCAGCTCTCGTGGAGCCCCCCTCGAAAAGGCAGGGGTTGTCATCCAACCGTTTCACCTGCTCCATCCCTGGCGCCTTTTCAAGTTGCCTCGCTTCCTGGGGAGTGTGTTCCCTTTCATTCATTTCTTGAATGGGCCTTTTTTACGGGGCCCCTCCTGAGAAACCTGCCAGAGAAACCTGCTCATGGGTTCCTGACAGGAAAAAGTCTGAACGGAAGGTTACCCCTATGCCATTATCACCTGTTTTCAGCTGTTGTCTTTGGATCTAGAGCACAACTGTTTGTTGACCTCGGTTTTCTTGCCATTTTCTTCTGTAAAGCTCCGTCTCAACAGTATTAAGAAGTTATCAACAATTGCTTTGGCGCTGGGAGTAGAAAGGACTCGAACTGAATTGCTGCCATTCCTCACAGGTATGTGAAGCTTTGTTGAAAGAAAGGCATGGACGTTTCAGTTTTCCAGTGTCTTTCAAAACTGTTAGAATTAAGTACTAAAACTCAACCTCGTGCTTTCTGTGCAAAAGAAAAAGGGCAGAGTATATTGTAACGAGGCCAGGCATACTCAGACATACCTATGTAGCTAATAGGTAAAATAATTTATATGAAATGATGAATTTCTAATTCATTCTGCAAAGCAGATCCAGGTAGACTGTTGATGGAGAAGGAAGAACATGCTGTTGGGATTGTGACAGGACCACTGCACAGATGCACCATTGCATGCGGATGGAGTTTTTTATTCTATTTCTGTGAGTGTCCAGCTCTAGGCCAGCTATCCTTGTGGATAAATACCCTGTTGTTGTCATTTCAGATACAATTTATGATGAAGATGAGGTACTGTTAGCCCTTGCTGAGCAGCTGGGAAATTTTACAGGCCTGGTGGGAGGACCTGACTTTGCTCACTGTTTGCTGGTGAGTATTTGTGCTGCCTATCCTGCTGGAACTTTTGCAGTATAAATGATACATTGTGTGGTTATAAGCACACTGGAGCATTTTTTATGCAGAGCTTTTTTTTTTTTTTTGGATTGCTAGTCACAATGTTAGCTATTGAGAGAACAAATAATATAGGCACTTTGGACTCAACTAGGCTTTCTTATTTTGTCTGACTGTGAATGCAAGAATTTCTTCCTCTTCTTTGCCTCTGTAGACTTATTTGGTACTTTAGAGGTTAGGAAGAAAAGAATTTGGTTGTTTTTACTTATGATATTTTGCCCCCGAAATTGAAGATCAACCCTTGTCTAGCAATGTCTTAACTTTGGAAACATTACTTTTTTTGTCATTAATTGTAAATGTGACTTTTAAAAAATTACTGTTATTGAAATATCATTTAACATCCTTGCTAGTATTTTTTGACAAGTTTAGGATTCCCCTCCCCACAGGTGTGATCACTGTAGCTCTCCCACCACCAAAGCATCCATAGTCCTCCATCTAAGTCCTGTTGTCAGGACTTACCCCTGCCCTCTCTTCCAAGGGTTGGTTTTAAGGTTTGTCTTTGATCCTTTGTTTGATTTTTTAAAAAATATTCCACCTATAAAAAACACCATCCAGTATTTGTTGTAGGCATAATTTTTGCTTGCAACTTTGTGAATTTGGTAAGTTCTGTTCAATTTAGTTGACATTTATTAGAGCTTACTGTGTTCTAGGCATTAAAATTAAATGCTAAAGAAGACCATTGTGACTGGAGTGAGGTCTCTATATGTCAACAAATAATTATCATACAGTGTTAGATGGAACAGTAGAAGCACATGTAAGGTATTCAAGTAACAGGAGAAAGGAATTAATCCTAGGTGATTAGGTAGACTTCTTGGGAGATGATGTCTGAACTAGGATTTGAGGAACGTCTCGGATACAGCAGTTGGACAGAATAGGGATGTATGCCTCAGGGCTTTGGATACTGTCTATATGATGCTCACTCTCGCCATTTCAGTCTCTACCTCTGATCTTTCCATGGAACTCTAGTTACAGAGAAAAATAGATATAAATATCCATTTATCTCTATATAATCTATCTGCCTGTGATTTTTCTGCTTAGATGTCAGACAGGTATTTCGAGTTTAACATGCCTAAGACAGAACTCAGTTTTCATCCCTAAATGTCTTTTGTATAGTTGTCCTGTCTCAGTAAATGGCAATCAGCATCTATCCAGTTGCACAAGTCAAAAGCGAGAAAATATTCTTGAATTCTCTTTCCCTCATTTCACACATCTAAAGCATTAGTAGCTTTTGTGGATTCTCTGCATTTTTTTTTTAAAGATTTATTTATTTATACAAGAACTGGAGTTCAGGCCAGATGCGCGGGGTGGGTGAGAGTATTCACCGGAGACAGCGGGGAACATAACAGGCAGACTGACAAAATACACTGTTGAGGGGAGCAGAGGGCGAGACAGGAGAGTTCTGCTTCGCCACATGGAATTCTCGCCTGCCGGCCGGGATCAAACCGGCACTGCAGAGGCTGTGGACAGCTTCACAGCGCCGCACTCAACAGCCTGCGCCACCAGGGAGGCCCTCTGCATATTTTAAATCAGTCTGCTCTCCTCTATCCACACTACCACTTACCTAGTTATTCCTCTGGTCTTTCCAAGCCACGGGATCTTTCCTTTTAATTACTACAGTAACTTCATAACTAGTTGCCTTCCATTCTTGCCTCCCACTCCACCCCTGCAGCTCACTGTTTATACAACAGATGGATCACACCCTGCCATGGCTCTTACATAATCCACACTCTTACCTTAGCTTGTCCCTTAGCTTACAAGACCCTTCTTGCCCTACTTTTGAGAGCTTATCTCATACCAGTACTCTGCAGGAACTTCATTCTGCTCACATTGGTTTGTTTTCAGTTCGCTGATTAAGCCAAGCTTATTATTGCCTTGAGACTTTTGCCCTAGGTATTCCCTCTAATAAAATGTTCTTTTGAGGTTTCTGTGGCTCACTCCTTGTCATTCCGATTTCAACTTCAATGCATCTTTTCAGAGAGGCCTTCCCATGCCACCCAACCTGAAATAGTCTCCCTGTCGCCTTTTATCACATCATACTATTCTATTTCTTTAAGAGTACTCATCACTATCTAATTGTTGTCTTAGTTAGTTGCCTTCCTGCATTAGAATGTATGCTCCACTGGAGCAAGGAACCTGTTTCCCTTGTTTCTTATGTATTGGCAGCACTAGACAACAATTATTGCAGAGTGAGTTTCAGAGGCTTAGACCATGAAGCAGGTTTGGTTGCTGGAGTAAAAGGTATCGGGGCTGGAGCAGGCAGTAGTGGTGTCGGGGCAGTAGAAAAGGACTTGGAGAAGGCAGAGTTCAGAATAAGAGACAATCTTTATGCAGTTTTCAGGAGTTTGGCCTTGTCCTGTAGTAGTGACAAATGACCCATTGATAATGCTTGAGAGAAGGTTGGAGAAGGCAGGTTACACACCGTGAGCGGGGGTTATAAGGAATAAAGCCGTCGCTTTTCAGATGGCTTCTGACATACTTTTTAGGAAAACCGTACTTTCTATGTCTCTATCAGACATAGATACTTTTTGAAATGTATTATGGGTAGATACACTTCTTTCCTTTGGTCCATTATACTTTTGTTTCACTCTCTTAATTCTACATGTGGGTTTGTTGTTAATATTGGTGGCTTGTAGAAGATCTGTATTTATACCTGGACCAAATGTAGACCCAGAAAGGAAGCAATTAAAAGAACCAGCCCTCTTCTTTTCACTGGGTCATGTCGTATTCACTTACTGGCTAATCCTTACCATCAGCGCCTTTTGTATCTTCTATCGCTAAAGCTGCAATCTCTGTACTCTTCTTAAACTGGTCTGTCTCAAACTCCTGCTCTGTGTATGAATTAGGGAAAGATTCTGGATTTATTCTGAAAAAGTGATCGGGTACTCAACCTTTAAAGGCTAGATAATGTGGTTGAGGGGGAAGAGCCCCTGGACCAGAGCTTGCATGTCCAGGAATGGTAGAGTGATACTCCAAAGACTGGGCTTAGGCAGCCCAACAAAACGTCTCCGTGCCCAACCTTGGTCATGTTTTTGTACTTACTCTTTTTTTTTTTTTTAAAGATTTATTTATTTTTTTATTTATACAAGCACTGGGTACAGTCAGAGGCATGGGAGGGTGAGAGAATTCACCAGAGCCAGAGCGGAGAGTAGAACAGAGTGACGAAGCACACTGCTGGGGGGAGCAGCGGGTGGCAGGAGAGGTCTGCACGCCATGTGGGACCCTCCTCTGATGGCTGGGGAGCAGCCGGGGATTGAACTGGCGTTGCAGAGGCTGCGGGCAGCTTCGCAATCCAGTGCTCAACCGCTGCGCCACCAGCGAGGCCCCTTTGTACATACTCTTAAGGAAATGTACATGATCCTGTCTGAGTTGGGCTACATGTCTCCTAAACTTAGTGAGTCAGCTCACAATAATATTAATCCTATGTCAAGTCTCTTCCACTGTGTCATTTGTAGACACCATCTGGGACACGAGATCTTGGCTGTCCTTCAGAAGTCGTGTCTTCAGGTTGGACACACCATATGTTATCACTGTGTGAACTGAACATAGCCATTTGGTGTGATGTAGCTAACATTCTGGTTACATGTACCCCCTCCCTTCAGTCACTTTAAAAGGTGATTATCTCTAAATAACCTGATGCAGTGAGTTTTTTTCTCTGCTTTCTCTTTTTTCGTCTATTCAGCCTCCTCTGGAAAGTCTTGCGACCGTGGAAGAGACTGTGGTTCGAGACAAGGCTGTGGAGTCCCTGAGGCAGATCTCCCAGGAGCATACTCCTGTTGCTCTGGAAGCTCATTTTGTACCTCTGGTGAAACGCCTGGCGAGTGGTGATTGGTTCACGTCTCGCACATCTGCATGCGGTTTGTTCAGCGTTTGCTACCCCAGGGCTTCAAATGCTGTCAAAGCAGAAATTAGACAGTAAGCTATGGCTTTTTTTTTTTTTTTTCTTCAATTATTTGGGGTATTGGGAACTTATAACTAACATTTTACTCGTTACCCTGTTACCAGTGACCGGCTGACAGCAGGATGGCAGGATTGATGACATCTCTTTTTATCGTGCATTTGTATATGCCAGTGGTTTTGTCTTTGTTACTTATAAGAGCAAATGCCTAAACATTGATGTCTGTATGAGAAAACCTCTAAATGGCCATCTGTGTGTGTTGTTGGGGAATGTTTTAATCAGTGGTATTTGATAGGAAATACCTTCATTTTGCTGCAGGCACTTCCGTTCCTTGTGCTCAGATGATACGCCAATGGTACGACGTGCTGCTGCTTCCAAATTGGGTGAATTTGCAAAAGTTCTGGAATTAGACAGTGTGAAAAGCGAAATTGTTCCATTATTCACTAATCTAGCTTCAGATGAACAGGTAAGTTAACTTAGTATTTATTTAAGGTACACAGATCAGCTCCTCTTTAAGTTTTTTTTTTTTTATTTTTAAAGATTTATTTATGCATACAAGAACTAGGGTACAGACCAGAGGTGTGGGGGGTGAGAGGATTCACCAGAGATACAGAAGGGGACAGAAAAGGCAGATTGACTGAAATACACTGCTGAGGGGAGCAGCGGGCCAGACAGGAGAGGTCTGCAGCATCGTGGGCTGCTTCCTGCCTGCCAGGGGCTCAAATAGAGGCTGTGGACAGCTTCACAGTGCTGTGCTTAACCCTTTATACCACTGGGGAGGCTGGTAGGCTCCTCTTTAACAGTTTAAAAGAATTTCTTTGGAGGTTTTGGTTCTTGTGTTAGGATCCTTTATGCAGAATTAATACTTAATTCTGGCCTGTGTAAAGTTTAAAATGACCCATCTTGGTGTTCTTGTATTTTTTTCTTTACCAGACCTTGATTTTCATGTTAGCAACTGTTAAAAGAAGGGGGAGTCAAAGAGGAAAATGAGAACCATAATTAAGAAGGGAGGACAAGTGCTGCTTTAAAGGGTGACATACCTTTGAGCACTGCAGGCTGGATTGTAATGTGGGAGAGTAATGTTTCTTGTAATTTTTATGACTTCAGATAAAAAAGCATAGCATATTTTAGGAAAGCTGTTGTGTGTGTGTATAGGATGACTTTGGATAATAGCAATTTTAAATCTAGGATCTAAGTCTCTTTTTTGTAGAAATAACAATAAAAACAATAACAAGCACCTAAATAAAGTATTTAATATTTGTCAGCCTGTTTGATGTGTTAAAATGTATACCAAAGTAATTTGGTCCTCACAGCAGCCCTGTGAAGTAGGTTCCCTGTTTTACGTATTAGAAAGGGGAGGCACAGAAAATCGAAGTTACTTAAGGTTCATCCTTTGCAAAGGTGGGTTTGGGATTCAAATGTAAGCAGTTTGGCCCCAGGATCATTATCACAGTGAAGCTGTACTGTCTCTCGGTATGGTGCTTCAGAAGATCAGCCCCTTATTCTAGAATAAGACTCATTTTGGGTTTTTAATTTGCTTCATACCTGCCCTAGAATCACTTCATTTGTAGAGGACCAAGAACACCAGATACATTGTCTCATTTTCAGATTCTAAATGTAGAGATGGTTAATTTTACTTACAAAATAAATTTTCAAATCTATTAAAATAACATAGAATGAAGTATGAAGTAAACAAGTGCTTCAGGAATTACCATAAGGTACTGTCATCCTGTAACTATCATTTATGAAAGGAGATGGAACTCCTCCACGCCCTCCCTCCTAAACACCCCCATAGGACTAACACTTTATCTTGAATTTTATGTTAACTACCTCCTTCTCTTTGCACTTTTCTTATTCAGACATTATAATTTAAAAGAGCACTATCCGTTGAAAATATATTGTAAGCTACCTATTTAAGTTTTCTAGTAGCTGTATTTTAAAAAGTAAAAAACAGCTGAAATTGATTTTAATAATATATTTTATTTAACCCAGTATATCCAGAGTGATGTCGTGAACTTTTGGCACTGGCACCTTTCAGGTATTGAGAAACCACTTGGATCTAGAGGTAGTGGTTACATTGGACAATGCAGGTTTAGAATCCTCATTTGGAATGTTGAGTATCTTGCCAACATGGTATGATGTTAGCATTTTCCTGAAAATTGATAATTGAATCTATATGGAGCTTTGCAAACTTTCTGTGAAGAGCCAGTAGTAAATATTTTAGACTTTATAGGCCAGACAGCTTCTGTTGTGCTACTGTGCTCTGCTTGCATAGCACAAAAGTGCCATATACCAACTAATAGACTTGGTGGTGTACTAACAAAACTTGATTTACATAAACTAGCTGCCTCCTGAATTCGGCCAGTGTTTGCCTATCATTAACAGAAGGGCTTAATGAGATTTAGATTTGGTATTTTTGGGGTGATAAGATCACTTCATAGATGAAGGTGTACGGTAGTAGCAACTGTTGCTCAAAAAAATATTAAATGCTTAATTGTAAAATATGTGAATGTATATTTCCTCCAGTCACTAACAGCATTGCTACTTTGGCTTATCCATCCATTGAAAAAAGATTTATTGAATACCTGTGGCATATTGGGGCACTGTTCTAGCGCTAGAACAGGGTTAAACAAGTCATGCAGGGACCCTCCTGTTACGGAGCTTAGATTTTAATGAAGGGGAACAGATAATAAACACATTCATAAACAAAATATCCTAGAGAAATGTGATGAGGAAAATAAAGGGGGATGACATAATAGTGATTAGAAGACATTTTTCTGGTCTGACTACCTGGAGAAGGACTGTGAGGGGGTGACATAATCTGAGACATTAAAGAAAAATGCCAACCTCCCCCTTTCCTAGAGTTTTAGAGCTCTAGAAAAAGAGAATTCTAGGAAGAAATGACATCTATGTATAGGTCCTGAGGTTAGAACATGATTTTAAGAAGAGAGTGACTTGATGAAATTTACATTTTAGAAAGAGTGCTTTGGCTTCTGTATAGAAACAAAATTAAAAGGGGGTTAGGATAGACACAGGAAAACCAATTAGGAGACTTTAAAAACCCAGGCAAGAGATGATGGTGTATTAGGGTGTATAGTGAAGATGGAGAGAATCAGGAGGTAGGTTTGGAGGTAGTAAGTAGAGTAATTGGATGAAGGGAAGAGAAATCAAGAAGTTCTTGGTTTTTTTTGGTGGAACAGCTGGGTGGATGATAGTGTCTTTGCTGAGATGGAAAAGATGATTCTGGGAGGAAGAACCAGGTATCGGGGAGAGAATCAGGAACTCTAGAAAAGAAGTAATTGATTAATTTAACAAATATTTATTGCCATATGTTTTCATAGATGGTAATAGTCCCATGATTTAACATTATTTTCTGAATCCAAAAATAATCTGTATACCCTCTTCCAAGAACCTACTTCTGCTTTTTTTTTTTCTTAGCCTGTTTATTTGGTTATAGTATTCTCTTTGGCATGTAGTAAGTCATTGTTGATCTACAGTTTTTTAAATTTGTAGCATTTTTGAAAATTAGAGTCTCTGTTATCTTCCTTGTGTATGCCTGTGCATATGTATATATACACATATACATATGTATGTTTTTATGCAAAGCACGTAATTATATGTGTGTGTACATATATACTTATATACTATTGCTTTTGTCCTGTTTCTCTTGGGTACTCATATGTTTATGTAATTCTGTTTTTACTTACATATTGATGATTCCCAAATCTGCGTCTCAATCCCAAATTTCTGACTGATTTATCTAATTCTACATTTCCACTTGGTCAAAGGACATATAGTTGTCAGATTGACACTTGGCAGTTTATGTTTGGAAAGCTGGGTTAATTTATTCTACACCTTTCTAAGTTTTTCTGCTGTTTTTTTCTAGGCTTGACTCCCTGTCTTTGATTATCAACATTTAGATTCAATGCTTTTCTTAGTTGCCAGCTTTGAAATTTTGTCTGTTTCTTTCCAAGGTATCATCTCATGCTTAAACTCCTATTACTGTCACCCCAAATTGGATATTTTAAAAACTGAGAGCTTCCTGAGTGATTCCCTTGCCCTTTATTCTCTTTTTTTTTTTTTTTTTTTTTTTAAGATTTATTTATTTATACAAGCACTGGGTACAGCCAGAGGCATGGGAGGGTGAGAGAATTCACCAGAGCCAGAGCGGGGAACAGAACAGGCAGACCAACAAAGTACACTGCTGAGGGGAGCAGCGGGCAGCAGGAGAGGTCTGTGCGCCACGTGGGACCCTTGCCGGGCGGCCTGGGATCAAACCAGTGCTGCAGAGGCTGCGGGCAGCTTCGCAACCCAGGGCTCAACTGCTGCGCCACTGGGGGAGGCCCGCCCTTTATTATCTTTGCACTAATATGTTAAAAAACTTGTTATAAGTATAGTTTTCAGTTTAGTCTTTCAGCTTAATATTATGAGGCTTTGAAGACAACTTTAAAAAGTTCTTTTTTCATTTAATCTTAGCATTTTATTAATAAAGACTTTGTACTCTACCAAGGTAATAACTTTGCTGTTCTCTGACTTCCATCTTTATGGCTTTGAAATGGCATTCCAGGCAAAGAAACAGCTATTTCAAGACGGAGAGACACAAAACTGAACATAGTGTGGTTTTTTTTAAATATAAAAGGACATTGTAACCTTGTTCTTAGAAACTATTAAGACTGTACATTTACATGATTTGGAAATGAGGCTCTAGGAAACAATAGCCAAAGAAGAATCACCCATTTTATTCCTTCTCTGTGGTTTGGCCACTTAGAAATGTGATGTATTCAGCTTTGATGGTTGCTTGTCACCTCACGTTATTTTTAATCTGTGTATTCACCATAGGCTGCTTTCCTTGCCATAAAAATTGGGGACCCTTCTTTCACATTCTGAGGCCTGTTCTGAGCACCTATAGTCTGTGCCAAGTTGTCTTTGACAGCACCCATTTGCTGTGCTTTGCTTTCCCCTGATCTCCCATCTTATTTGTTATTAGAGAAGATATCGTGACTGGGTTTTTTCCTTCTGTTTGTCTTATCACCAGGTCTTCAGCCACTAATCCAAGTCACTGAGCATGATTCAGAGATCGGAGAACCAGGCTGCTAGATATTTCGCTTTCCTGCTCCACGTGGGTTAGCTCCCTGGCGGGGGATCGAACTCCCGCTGCAGTGGCTGCTGATAGCTTCATAGTGCTGAAACTTAACCCCTTGCGCCACCAGGGAGACCCCTGTGTTTACTTCTCATACAGTCTAACCTTTGGTCCTCTAAGTCTCTCTAGGCCAGGCATCTTGAACTAGGGGATCTGTTTTTGTTTTTGTCATCTATAGCACCAACCCCATGCCTGTGGCTCTCAGTAGATACTGTTTGACAAACAGAAATTTTGTCACTTTAGGATTCGGTGCGCCTTCTAGCTGTGGAAGCTTGTGTCAGTATTGCCCAGTTACTGTCTCAGGATGACCTCGAAGCCTTGGTGATGCCTACACTTCGACAAGCTGCCGAAGATAAATCCTGGCGAGTTCGTTATATGGTAGCTGATAAATTTTCAGAGGTAAAATTTTTGCACTGATACTTTTTTTTTAAGATTTATTATTTTTTTTTATACAAGAACTGGGGTACAGGCTAGAGGCGTGGGAGGGTAAGAGGATTCACAGGAGACAGAGCTGGGAGCAGAACAGGCAGACAGACCAAAGTACACTGCTGAGGGGAGCAGCAGGCAACACAGGAGAGGTCTGCCCTGCCATTTGGGTTTCTCCCTGGCTGGCCGGGAATCGAACCGGCGCTGCAGAGGCTGCGGAGAGCTCCACAGCACTGCGCTCAACCCGCTGTGCCACCGGGAAGGCCCTGCACTGATACTTTTTAAGTGCTAAAGTAAAATACAAAAAAAAGTTTGCTATTAGACGAAAGGTTCCTGAATTCTGGAATGCTTGTGGTAAAAATAAAGGCTTGGCACACAGAGGACCAAGGTTGTGAAAAATGCAGGGCTACCTGTGGTGTTGCCATTTCTTCCACCCTCGTCTCTCTCTTTCTGTGCCATATTGGGACTCAGCTTCTGGAGTTTCACCACCCCTGTGGTCCTAGGAGCCACTACAAGGAGGGAAGAATTTGCCATTTCAGAAAACAAGTGGTGGTTACTAATTTTGGTGATTTTTATACCTGGGTTCTGGATTTACTACACCTTCCTTTGTAGTAAGACACCGGCTGCTTAAGAAATAAGGGCCTTTTAGTTCATCTTTGAAGCAGATATGAAGAGAAGTGCACTCTTTTTGCAAAGTCAAACTCTTGAACTCAACATATTATGTTTGTAAATTTACGGTATAAATCCTTAATGCCTCTTCTTTGAAATTAAAAAAAAAAAGACATACTTGAAGATTACACTGTTTTGTTTTGTTCATGCTAATTATTTTGTTAGTATACTAAAACTTGGTTTTTTTTTTTAAGATTATTTATGCATACAAGAGCTGGGGTACAGGCCAGGGATGGGTGGGGGCGGGGTGAGAGGATTCACCAGAGACATAGTGGGGAATAGAACAGGTAGAGTGACCGAAATACACTGCTGAGGGGAGCAGCGGGCGAGACAGGAGAGGTCTGCTGTGCCATGTGGGTTGCTCCCTGGCCGGCCGGGGATCGAACTCGTGCTGCAGAGGCTGTGGATTGCTTTGTAGTGTGGTGCTTAACCCCTTGCGCTACCAGGGAGGCCCCTGTATACTAAAACTTGCACAAATTCTTTTACAGCTCCAGAAAGCTGTGGGTCCTAAAATCACCCTAAATGACCTCATCCCCGCCTTTCAGAACCTACTTAAAGACTGTGAAGCTGAAGTACGAGCAGCTGCTGCCCACAAAGTCAAAGGTAAAGGACATCAGTTTATGTTGCAGCTTATAACTGCATTTTGGTGCATTTTTTATGCCAAGTTTGCATGTTATTTGTTCTGGAATATGTTAAAAAAAAACCAGATGATTTCAATGTGTAGAAATGTCACATTGTTGCAAAAATTGCCCCCTCTGTATTTAAAACCAAATTGCTATTTTATCTTGTTCCTGTTTTAAAACGTGCCTTTTTAGTTTGGATTGGTGTGATACACAAGGCGTTTAGATGGATCAAAATGTGTGTTAGGAATAAGAGCCATTCCCCTCACCTCTTGCCCTGCCTGGGGAGCTCATTTGCTTAAGCTTATGATTTAACTTGCTACTGTTGCTATACCTGGCTGATTCTAAAAGACTTTATGTGAGGGCTGTTTTTTCTCTGTATTTCTTTTAGAACTTTGTGAGAATTTGCCTATTGAAGGTAGAGAGACCATAATTATGAATCAAATTCTGCCCTATATAAAGGTAAATCTAACTTTATTTTTTGTTTCACCTTGCTCTATATTAAGATAACTCTGACCTCAATTTTGTTATCTTAAAGCTTTCTTAGTTTAAGAAAGTTGAGTGTTTTATCTTAAAACTGTCTTAGTTTATTTTTTAATTTTTTTTTAAAGATTGATTTATGTATGCATACAAGAGCTGGGGTATAGGCCAGAGATTCAGGGGGTGAGAGAATTCACCAGAGACAGACTGGAGAACAGAACAGGCAGATTGACTGAAGTACACTGCTGAGGGGAGCAGCAGGTGAGTCAGGAGAGGTCTGCTGCGCCATGTGGGTTGCTCCCTGGCTGGCTGGGAATTGAACTCATGCTGCAGTGGCTGCGGATTGCTTCATAGGTTGCGTCTTAACCCTTGCGCCACCTGGGAGGCCCCTATTTTTTATTTATTCATTAAAAAAATTATTTTTTAGAAGAACTGGGGTATAGGCCAGAAATGGGGGTGGGGTGGGCGAGAGGATTCCCCAGAGACAGTGGGGAGCAGAATAGGTGGATTTACTGCAATACACTTCTGAGGGGAGGAGTAGGCAAGAAAGGAGAAGTCTGCTGTGCCTGCCTGGTTGGGTCAGCTCCCTGGCTGGAGATCAAATTCAGGCTGCAGTGGTGATAGCACTGAGACTTAACCCTTAGACCTCCAAGGAGGCCCAAAACTGTCTTAGTTTAAAGGTGGATGAGTTCGTGACATTATACCACTTATTAGTGTTTTATAATAGTAAATTGTTCTTTGATGTATAGCTTTATATTATTTCATAGATGGTCTGAGGACTTGTGTCAACTAACCAGTATTGAAATAGTTCTGTCTTTTTAAATTCCTTGGGAGATGGTGTGGAAGTTTCTGTTGACTTACAAAAAAGGCTTATAATTTTGATTTTATTTTAGGAATTAGTATCTGACACAAATCAACATGTCAAATCGGCTCTAGCTTCTGTAATTATGGGATTGTCTACCATTTTGGGTAAAGAGAATACCATTGAACATCTTCTACCTCTTTTTTTAGCTCAGTTAAAGGATGAGGTAAGTCTGGCTCCAAATTCTATTGCCTTTGATAGTCACTGGTTTGTTTTGGCTTTGGTTTTGGGTTTCACTAAAATAAAATCCAGAACAGGGATGAAGAGGTTTAAAAAAAACTAACTTTTAAAAAAAAAATTTTTTTTAAAGATTTATTTTATTTATATAAGAACCGGGGTACAGGCCAGATGTGCGGGAGGGTGAGAGGATTCACCAGAGACAGTGGGGAGCAGAACAGGCAGACTGACTAAATATACTGCTGAGGGGAGCAGTGGGTATGACAGGAGAGGTCTGCTGCGCCATGTGGGACCCTTGCTGGCCGGCCGGGATCGAACCAGCACTGCAGAAGCTGCGGACAGCTTCACAGTGCGGCGCTCAGCAGCCTGCGCCAACAGGGGAGGCCCAAAAAAACTAACTTATTTTTAAGAATTATATTTATTTATTTATGCATACAAGAGCTGGTGTGTAGACCAGAGGTGTTGGGGGTGAGGGGATTCACTAGAAACAGAGTGGGAGCAGAACAGGAGGATCTACTGAAATATACTGCTGAGGGAAGCAGTGGGCGAGACAGGAGAGGTCTGCTGTGCCATGTTAGCTCCCTGGCCAGGAATCAAACTCCTGTCGCAGTGGCTGGTGATAGCTTGCTAGTGGTGAGAACTAAATCCTGCTCCACCAGGGAGGCCCAAAAGTAACTTATTTTAAACCAGCAATAATCTATGTTTGGGTAAGTGGTGACATATTCCCCAGAAAATGGGATCAAGTTCTTCAGAAGAACTCTTGTGATCATGTTTTTATCTCTTCCATTCTTCAAAATGTATGCCAAAGATAGCAGTACATAGACAATGTCTTTTTTTTTATTTTTTTAATTTTTATGTATATTTTACATCATTCTTCCTTTTTGTACAATGTATGCTTTGTCCTCTCAGGTGTAGTCCCTGTAAAATTCTCACCACCCCAATTCACCTGTGCACCATCACTATAGTCCCTTGTGCTCTACCCTCCCCTAGGATGTCTCTGATTTATAGTTGTCTGTTAATTTTGTTTTTTACTTTATTATAATTATTTTTTTTCTTGATCCTTTATTTTGTTCCCCTACATTCTTCCTGTAAGTGAAACCATCCAATATTTTTCTTTTTCTTTCTGGCTTATTTCACTGAGCATAATCCCTTCTACCTCCATCCATGTTGCTGTGAATGGAGTGAGTTTTATCTTTTTGTGATTGCCGAGTAAATAGTCCATTGTGTATATATACCACATCTTGACTCAGTCATCTATTTTTGGGCATTTGGGTTATTTCCATAGCTTACCTATTGTAAATAGTGCTGCAGTAAACATAGGGGTGGTTGACAGTGTCTTTTTGTCACCCTTTTTTCCTTTGTCATTCTCAAATGCTGAGACCTAAGTAGTTATTCAGCCTCTCTACCTGATGGCTGGCTGCTTATTTACACTGGTTTCTTCTCTTTAACGCTAATGTATCTTTGTTTCAAAATTTCTTTCATTTAAATTTAAAATAGCATCAAAATTATAATGCTAGCCAACATTTGTTAATACTTTGAGTCAGGCATGGTCATATATGTGTTAGAACATGTAATTATCACAGCAATCTTATGAGATAAGTCTTATTATTATCCCCATTTTACCAATGAGGAAGATGAGGCACAGAGATAAACTAATTCACCCAGAGTCTCAGCTATGGCACACCAAGGGTTTGAGTGCAAGTATTTTGATTCTAAAGCCTGTGCTTTATGATCCCATCATTGAAAATTCTGGTGAAATCGGTCACATTTATGTGCTTTGAATTATTGGTACTCAGTATTAAGGATTTATATCATGATTACATTTTTCTTCACCTTAGTCTATGTGTTATTTTTATGTGTATTTAGCGGTTTTTACTTCATCATGACAGTAGGACAATAATGGGTGGTGAACTTGATTTTTACGTGTGTTCTTTGGGGCTTCTGTGCTTGCAGTGTCCTGAAGTGCGTTTGAATATCATCTCCAATTTGGATTGTGTCAATGAAGTGATTGGAATCCGTCAGCTTTCTCAGTCTCTCCTTCCTGCTATTGTGGAGCTGGCTGAGGATGCCAAGTGGAGGGTCCGGCTGGCCATCATCGAGTATATGCCACTGCTGGCAGGCCAGCTGGTGAGTACCTGTGCTCCGTGATTGAAGGATAGTGTCAGACAGCGGAGAGGATTTGCCATGAGTAGGAGGCCCAAAGAACTCTTGTGATCATTTTCTTATGATAATGTTCAGACATATAAAAGTATGGTCTGTCCTGATTGCCTTTAGGATATTTTTTATTTTCAGTAGTGTGTGAACTTCTGGTAAAAAGGTTTTAAACACACTTTACCTCACCAGCACCACCTAAAAGCAAAGCCTTAGAAAATATCATTACTTTCTTGGTATTTGTAACATTGATTTTGTGATGTTTTTATCTCTGTGACTTAAGGAATATTTAACTGAAAGGAACAGGGAATATGATTTTCAGATAAGTCAGCATCTATTTTTGCTCAGAGCAGCTTCCTTGTTTGCCTATGTTCTGAGCAAAATATCCCTGGTTACCACTTTTCCTACATTCTTGTTAAAGGAATTGCAGTCACCATATAGAAGAGGAGTATTGAAATTGTTTATGCTAGCATTTTTTTTAAAGATTTATTTATTTATGCATACAAGAGCTGGGGTACAGACCAAAGTTGCAGGGGGTGGGGTGAGAGGATTCACCAGAGACAGAGTGGGGAACAGAACAGGCAGACTGACTGAAATACACTGCTGAAGGGAGCAGCGGATGAGGCAGGAGAGGTCTGCTGTGCCATGTGGGTTGCTCCCTGGCCAGGCGGAGTTCGAACTCGTGCTGCAGAGGCTGCGGGATTGCTTCATAGTGCGGTGCTTAACCCCTTGTGCCACCAGGGAGGCCCTGTTTATACTAGCATTTTGACCAAAGTCCCTATTATCACGTTATCTGTTACTATTGGAGTTTCCTCATTAATTTTACTCTTAAGTGGTATCATGTTAATTAAAATGTCATTTCTGGGTTTTATAGACCTCTTTTAAGAGGTGCCCTGGACAGGCTTAAATTTGGTATAACTTCACCCCATTGGTAGCATTTACAACAATGGGTTGTAACTGTGAGATTGTTAGAATCCAGTGGGCGAGATAGACAAGATGGCTTGTAGGTCAGAGTCTGTGTCCATTGTTTTATTTCTGTTGCCCACCATAGTGGCTGACATTCATCAGCCACTGATGTTTGTCAGTTGTTGAGTAGATGAGTATTGAATAGTGTTTGAGAAAGCACATAATAGCATGTCCGTTTACAGCTAACATTATTGCAGTGTTTCTCCTCTTCAGCCCGTACTTCATGCCTTTCAGATCACAGCATGGGGGATTTATTTTTTATTTTCTTGACCCCCTAACTTTATGTTGTTAATTTCCCATATTTCATTTGTGAAATGCATCTTGTACAAGTCTGTGGCATCAGAGGGTTTTATATAATTTGAAGTGCTCCATTCTTCAAAATGTATGCTGGAACTATCAGTACATAGCTACCAAGAGTGGTGATGTCTTTGTCACACTTGTTTCCTTTGTCTTTGCCAAATGCTGAGGGTCATCTTCTCTTCTTCACTGGTGATTGTCATGGATCTTGTCTCCAGAATTAACTAACTTGCTGATTACTGAAACAGCTCCAAAGGGGAGAGTGGATTTTAGTGTCATGACTTTTTTTTTTTAAATAAGACTTAATTTACTTATTTATGCATACAAGAACTGGGGTGTAGGCCAGAGGTGCAGGGGGCAAAAGAATTCATCAGAGACAGAGTGAGGAACAGAACAGGCAGATCCACTGAAATACACTGCTGAGGGGAGCAATGGGAGAGATAGGAGAGGTCTGCTGTGACATGAGTTAGCTTCCTGGCCAAGGAACTATGCCACAGTGGCTGGTGATAGCTGGATATCTCTGAGACTTTAACCTCTGCACCACCAGGGAGGTCCTTGAGTGTCATGTCTGTTAACCTCTGTTCCTTCTAGACTTGGAAGTCTGCAAAAGGTGGTAGCACTCTGGAGGAGTGTGGGAGCTGGAGGATGATGGCTTTGACTAACTCATACCTGACTGGCAAGGAACATGCATGAGTCATCAACATTTTGTTATATATCTTTGACTTCTTGTTAGTATTAAGTATTTTATCTTCATTTTTTTTTTTTTTTTAGCCTGTGAAGATTTTTATTTTAGGTAGTTAATTTATAAAATTCTTTCAAGACTTTATATATGGTTGGGCTTGTGAATCATGGTGAGTAAATATAGAGTTAAATGCAAAAATCAGGAAATAAAGTTCACTAAAACTCAAAACTTCCATTAAATCTTTGAGATTTAATCTAAGCATATGGCAAAACCTGTTCATAATTTATTATAAAGACCTTGTATCTTATTAAATCACTATTTTCAAAGCTCTGAAACTTTGTGTTACATTTCTTTGTTTAAAATATGTCAAGAATTGTTTAGGATCCAGGTCTCCCCTTGTGGCACAGTGGTTGGGTGCTGGGCTGCGAGGCTGCCCTCAGCCTCTGCAGCACCGGTTTGATCCCGGGCCACCAGCGAGGGTCCCACATGGCGCGCAGACCTCTCCTGCCGCCCGCTGCTCCCCTCAGCAGTGTACTTTGTTAGTCTGCCTGTTCTGTTCCCCGCTCTGGCTCTGGTGAATTCTCTCACCCTCCCGTGCTTCTGACTGTACCCAGTGCTTTTATAAATAAATAAATAAATCTTAAAAAAAAGAAGAATTGTTTAGGATCTAAAGAAGCAAAAGACTATAAATGTGTAGACCCCTAAAGGGAGGCACTGGGAAAGCGTGTATCACAGCATTCTCCCACATGGTGCCAATCCCATCAGCTCCAGGAGCTCAGCCCCAGCCTATGCTGACATGGCTCCCTGTTGACAGAAGGAGCAGAGCCGGAGAACCAGGGTGTCACTATAATGAGGCTGCTTCACCTATATCTTGTGCCTGCTTCCTTCTGCCTCTGCTTTCCCCCATCCCAGAAATGTCAGTTTCTCCATCTTTAAGGATTTATTATAGTAATAAAAAAAGGGGAAAAGTATTAAGGATTACTGATATTATTAAAAGGTCTATTCCTCGGTAATTCATTATTACAGATAATCTAGAGATTTCTTGGATGGCTTTCCACGCTGTGTTCTTCCTGCTCATCTGCAGTATTGTATCTGGCTCCTGGCCACCCTATTTTTCTCCCACTTAGCATGGCCTGGACTGTGTCACTTAGGTTTTTCTTTGTTTATGATTTTTATCCAATAAAATAGATTTATAGTTTGTAAATCAAATTCCTTGGTATTCCTTTTCTGGCTGTTTCATGAATACAAGGTTTTTGTTTTTTTTTTTTTTTTAAGCTCACAGATCACTTTCTTGTAATGTAAGTAAACCATTTTGATTTCTCCACTTGGAGAGGTATATTAATGGTTTCTTCTGTATCCATAGGGTGTGGAATTCTTTGATGAAAAGCTGAATTCTTTATGTATGGCCTGGCTTGTGGACCATGGTGAGTAGATCATTGAAAACAATTATCATAGAAAGACCATGTGTTTGCATATACCCTGTTTTGTTCATTTATTTACTTTTTTAGAAGGAGCCTAATTTTATCAATTATTTTGCCATACCATTGTGGAGATGAAGAAAGTCTTTTTTTTTTTTTTAAAGATTAATTTTATTTATTTATATAAGTACTGGGTACAGTCAGACGCGCGGGAGGGTGAGAGAATTCACCAGAGCCAGAGCGGCGAGCAGAACAGGCAGAAGGACTGAAGTACACTGCTGAGGGGAGCAGCGGGCGGCAGGAGAGGTCTGCATGCCATGTGGGGCGCTCAACCACTGCGCCACTGGGGAGGCCCAAGAAAGGCTTTTTAATTAAAAGTCCACTGAGCTTTGTGCAAACACAATTTTGACTTTCCTACTTTTTGACAGATATTTCTGTTTTAAATTTTTTATTTCATTTCTCCATTAAATAATCTCTTTGTATACACACACACTCCCCACTCCTTTCTTATGCCAAGGTCTTCTGCTTGACCAGCAGCTGTCTGGATGTCCTCAGTCATGGGATATTAGGCTGCTCAGGTATTGGAATCGAATGAAACACCTGAGGGAAGAAAATGGCTATTTGACTTTGAGCTTGTTAGCAGTTGCCTTTTTTTTTTTTAAGATTTATTTATTCGCGCATACAAGAACCGGGTTACAGGCCAGATGTGTGGGAGGGTGAGAAGATTCATCAGAGACAGAACAGGCAGACTGACTGAAATACACTGCTGAGGGGAGCAGCAGACGAGACAGGAGAGGTCTGCTGTGCCATATGGGTAGCTCCCTGGCTGGCTGGATTCGAACCTGTGCTGCAGAAACTGCTGACAGCTTCACAGCATAGCACTCAACTGCCTGCGCCACCAGGGAGTCCCAGCAGTTGACAAGGTCTCAGGTTTGGTATCTCATCTGCCAGGCAGTGGTGAGGAAGCACTGCCCTCCACTGCTGAGGTTCAGGGTCACCCCAGTCTAGACCCGGTTGCTTCAGTATAATCTGAGATGAGCATGCTGAGAGCTCATGACATAGTCTGTGAGCCTCTGGTCCATGTTTTGGTGCATACTCAGGCATTTCTGTTCCAGTTCCATAGCACCTTATGCATACTTCACATATTGGTGCATCTGTTCATCTATGGGTGCTTATGGCTGGATATTTTGGAGGAGTAGGGGGAATATTTGTGTCTCCTTGTTCAGGTGGGTGGTTTTGTTAAAAACATATTTAGATCATGTGGGAGATCTTCTAGTTAAGAGAGTATGAAGGGGAGAGGTGAGAATAATATGCACGTCTTTTATTTTTTTTTTTTTAAACAGAGGCATGTTTTTATTTATTTATTTATTTGTTTGTTTGTTTTGTTTACACATGCACTGGGTACAGTCAGAAGCGCGGGAGGGTGAGAGAATTCACCAGAGCTAGAGCGGGGAGCAGAGCAGGCAGAAGGACCAAAGCACACTGCTGAGGGGAGCAGCGGGCGGCAGGAGAGGTCTGCGCGCCATGTGGGACCCTCCTCCTGTGGCCGGGGAGCAGCCGGGGATCGAACCGGCGCCGCAGAGGCTGCGGGCCGCTTCGCAACCCAGCGCTCAACCGCTGCGCCACTGGGGAGGCCCAATATGCACGTCTTTTAAAGGATTATCCCTGTAGATAATTTCAATGCTTTTAAACTAGATTGTGATGACTCTTTTTTTCTTATCTCTAAAGTTACCTTTTTATGGATAGATTTTTTTTTTTCTTTTAAAATGAATCTTAAGGGCCTGCCTGGTGGTACAGGGGTTAAAGTTTAGCGCTGTCAAGCTATCACCAGCCACTGTGGCATGAGTTCAATCCCCAGCCCTCATGCCACAGCAGACCTCTCCTTTCTTGCCTGTTGCTCTCCTCAGTAGTGCATTTCAGTAGATCTGCCTATTCTGTTCCCCACTCTCTCTGGTGAATTCTCTCACCCCCCGTACCTCTGACCTACACCCTTAAGTTGGCAAATCATAAGAAAGAATTCCTTTTTTTAGAAAAGGGAAATATATTTTTTTTGCTGGGTATTTAGTGCTTAGCTGGAATGATCCTAACCGTTCCAGCAGATCTTTCTATACTTTCTTTGAAAACTGACATTCTAGATTAAGATAATTTATTTGAGGAACTTTTACTGCCCTATTGTTCCATGGAGAATTAAATTCCTAACACCCTTTTATAGGATTGCTCTATCCAGTAAATTAATTACTACTTCCTCTTTTCTCTGATTTCTTTCTTCCAAGCTGGGAGCATGAGAGCCCCTTGTGTCTCTGTCTCTTTCTCTGTCTCTCTCTTGGCAGCAGCGTACTAAAATGGGTACTGTAGTTATTATTTAAACCAATGAAATGTCAGCTCTGAAGTTGTCATGCACTAAATCACATGAGTTTTTGTATTTACTTTTCAGTAACTGCTATGTAGTGATCACTGGTCAGTTTAATTTTTGAAACTTTTCCCCTGACTATTAAACTACTAAAAGAATATTGTGAAAAATCCAGAGAAGTATAGGGGGAGCAAGTATCAATCACCTCTAATCTTGTGGCTGGGTAGGCAGCATTGATGAGAAGGAGGAATGTAGAAAGGGGATTTATTTTTTTGTTGGCAAAAGGATACATATTGGCAAAAGATACATATGCTTTCTGATACATATTCAAAGTGAGTGAGTTAATAGAGTATGTTAGCCATTCAGAGGGACCTTGCAAGTCAGCCAGACCTTGAGGGGTAAGGGTAAGAGGGAGAGTGAGAGACAAAACAAGGAGAGAAAGCAGGCAAAACTGTGGAATGGTTTGCATTCCTTTGACAACAAAATTGAGAGGAGCCAAGAACACAGTTGGCATCTGACCAAGTAGAACCGAGTGCAGTTAAGGTCTGGGTCAAGGCTGAGCTGTGTGCATTCGGTCTCTGGTTGCTCTGAGAGATCCCTTCCTTATGGTAATGGCCTTAGAAGAAGAAACATCTCAAGCAAATGAACAAACAGAATTAGAGAAGATACAGATGCTCTTGCTACCTCCACCATGGGGAGAGCTGCCTGGGAGAGGTTTCTGCCAGAGACAAGACTGTGGATGGATGTGAAGAGAGAAATGTGTATTATGAGCAAAACAGCTAACTTAGAGTTGTCCTTAGAGGGTGTTTATCCAAAAACTTCAGTCTGGTTTTATTGGTAATAAATAATAAGTTTTTTGACTATGAAACAGATCTGCCTGATAAGAGAAGTAGAGTAAGAAGTCATTACCACCACCCTAAATTTGTCATCTAAGCTGAAATTTTGAGTCTTACTGGACCTATGAAATAAGGTAGCACCAGGCATGTGGTTTATAGTGACTAATTGGTTTTTTTTTTTGTTTGTTTTGTTTTTAAAGGTTTCTTTTTATATATTTATGCATACAAGAACTGGTGTGTAGGCCAGAGGTATGAAGCAGGGGGTGGGGGTGAGAGGATTTACCAGAGAAGTGGGGAGCAAAACAGGCAGGTCTACTGAAATACACTGCTGAGGGGAGCAGCGGGAGAGACTGGAGAGGTCTCCTGCTCCATGTGGGTCAGGTTCCTGGCTGGGCATCAAACTCTTGTTACAGTGACTGGTGATAGCTTGATAGTGCTGAGACTTTAACCCCTGCACCACCAGAGAGGCCTTATAGTAATCCCTGCACCACCAGGGAGGCTGTGTAGTAGCTAATTGTTGATAGTAGCTCAGGCCTTATTCATCTAAATTTGTCTTTGATAAATCATCTTATAGGGAAATATTAGATTTTAAAGTAGGCACATTTATTCACAGAAGTGATTTGACATGTTGTCTCAGTATGAAAGCTTTTAATGGAAAAGAGGCGAGTTGGCCTAAAGTTTTTTTTTTTTTTTAAAGATTTACTTATTTATTTAATACAAGAACTAGGGTACAGGCCAGATGCGTGGGAGAATGAGAGGACTCACCAGAGACAGAACGGGGAACAAAACAGGCAGACTGACGAAGTACACTGCTGAGGGGAGCAGCGGACAAGACAGGAGAGGTCTGCTGAGCCATATGGGACCCTCGCTGGCCGGCCGGGATCAAACCGGTGCTGCAGAGGCTGCGGACAGCCTCATAGCACAGTGTTAACCCGCCTGCGCCACCAGGGGAGGCCCGGCCTAAAGTTTTCATCTTGGCCAGAGGTTTGTTGTATAGATGGCTTCAGTGACCTCTGTGTGACCTCCTTGCTGTCTCTTCCCACAGCTGTTCTGCCACTGCTGGAATAATCTTGCCTCACATTGATCCATCAGGTCACAGCTTTGCTTTAAAACCCCCATTATTTTTCTTATCAGGTCTAAATTTAGCCTTCAAGATGCTCTGTGATCTGGGTCTACCCTAACTGTCCAACTTAGAGTGTCACAGACTTCCTATAGGGTAAATTTTTTGCCCTTTTGGTGAATTTTCCCCTCTTCTCTCTGTTTCCACAAATCTTCCCTAATCTGGCGGCCCAGTGCAAGGCCTTTTTTTCCTACAGCCTCACCAGATTTTCCTATTCCCTTTTCCCTAATCTCTTAGCAGCTCTCACAATCTTACACAGTTACATACGTAATTATAATCAGTCCTAGGCCATGTGACTTCTTTGAGTGTGCTAGTTTTCATTTCTCTGATAGTGTCTTATCTTTGAAGGAAAGTGTCTTATATATTCCTTTTGTAATAGCACATAATAGGCACTCATATTTAGTAATTAATGATATCGCTAATGAGCTCCTTACCCCTTGTTCCTTGGATATATTAGACATTTTGAAACTATAAAAAGACCATGTCAGTATATTATGGGGGGCCTCCCTGGTGGCACAAGGGGTTAAGAAGCAACCTATGAAGCAATTTGCAGCCACAGCAGCACGAGTTTGATCCCCAGCCAGGGAGCAACTCACATGGTGCGCAGACCTCTCCTATCTCACCCGCTGCTCCCATCAGCAGTGTATTTCAGTCAGTCTGCCTGTTCTGCTCCCCACTCTGTCGCTGGTAAATCCTCTCACCCTCCACACCTCTGGCCTGTACCCCAGTTCTTGTATGCGTAAATAAATAAATCTTTATATATATATATAATGAGTTGTATATATATATATATATATATATATATATATATATATATATATATATATAATGAGTTGTAGCTGGGCCTGTTTCCCATTGCAATGTGATAAAATTTGGAGTGTGTTTGCAGAGAAGTGATGGTCTTTCTTTGATGGTGTAGTAAGTAAAATAAGTTATATTTGTAATGTAAGTAGCATGAGCATTTATTCTACTGTCATCTCTTTTGTAGTGTATGCCATCCGAGAAGCTGCCACCAACAACCTCATGAAACTAGTTCAGAAATTTGGCACAGAGTGGGCGCAGAATACCATTGTTCCCAAAGTGTTAGTGATGGCAAATGATCCTAATTACTTGCATAGAATGACCACTTTATTCTGCATTAATGTAAGTCTCTCATACTTATATCAGCAAGTATGTTGCTAGTAAGAGGAGCCTGTTGCTACTAAGTTCAGGCATTAGAACAGTTATTCAGGACTGTAGTTCTGAGTTCTGAATTTATTATCTTCTATTTGGCATAGATTTCTTACGCTGGTTAATTTGGACAGTTAGGAGTTGAGAGAATATGTTGTTTCAGTTCGTATTGAAATCTGTAATATTCTGGATTAATTCTGTGATTCTTTGACTGTTACCTTATATCCCTTATTCATATGCTCATATTAGAAACATTATCCTGTCGGGCAATGCTTATTAAATATGTGTCGCTTTAGATTTTGGGATATTTTAAAAGATAAAAATTTCTAAATGTGCCACCTTATTTCCTTTCTTAGGCACTGTCTGAAGCCTGCGGTCAGGAAATCACCACCAAGCAGATGCTGCCCATTGTATTGAAGATGGCAGGAGACCAGGTAGCAAATGTCCGTTTCAATGTGGCCAAATCTCTACAGAAAATTGGACCAATTCTAGACACCGAGTAAGATTTTAGTATTATCCTTGTTTCTAAAGTTGATTAAAATTTTTGCTTTATAGAAGGGAGTAATAGCTAAAACAAAATCCATTGATTTTCAGTTTACCTATGATTTGGGTTTCTTAAAAAATGATAAATTTTACAGCCATTTCGGAGGGAGTCCAATTTGAGATTTATGTTTCAGCTCTGTGTATGTTGAGATGATTGAAGCTGATTCTGCTGAGAACTTCTTTAGAAATTATTTAGTACTTGTCAGGTTTATATAATAGTTGTTTTAAAATGTTTTTAATTTTAAACTTTATAAAATTACCATGGAGCATATATGCTATAAAGTATTTCTCTGACCTGGAAGACTGCCTTTCACAGACAACACCGTTGGGTTTTAGTGCTTTGCAGGAGGAAGTTAAGCCAGTACTACAGAAATTGGGCCAGGACGAAGATATGGATGTCAAATACTTTGCACAGGAAGCTATAAGTGGTACGTCTTTCTGTTTCTTGCCTTGCAGCTTATCCTTGGGTTGACAGAGTGTATGGGCTAGGTGATAAGCAGAGGGGAGAAAAGGAGGGTGGTGAGCCCCTGGGATGCTTATGCCAGTCTTAGGGTAGAACCTTCTTGGCCTGTTATTCTTTCATAAGTAAGCAGGCCATTTTCTCAGTTTTATGAGTAGGGCTCACTAGGAATATTATTCTTAATGAATAATAAGAATAGTTTTCCTATGGATTTTGGTCAGTATTGAAAGTTTAACCTCTAACTTGGTGGGCAGAGTGAAGAAAGTGACCACAACAAGAAGTTCACAGTCTCATACTTTTGGATCATTGTTGTCATGCATAATATCACATAGACAGTTCATGAACTTTCTGTACCACTAACTTGATTTTATTTGGAATTTTCCAGTGCTTGCATTGGCATAATGAGGAACAGGAGGGAGAAAAGACTTTACTAAATTCTTATCACAGATTCTAGTAAAGTGTTCTTAAACTGGGTGGAGAAAAAAATGGAAAACCTTCAAGACCTCATCCAAGCAAATGGCAGCAGCTTACAAGAAATCAAATTTCAGTGACTCAATTCTCTCTAAAGATGAATGGGATTGTGTTTTGCGCATTTCCTTATTGGGATAATTATATTTAAACCCTTTGTGTTGTTTTGACCAATTCCTGATACTTGGTACAATCATTTCTTCATTGTCTCTAATGATTTATTGGACCATTTGGGCTCCTGCATCCTCACTATTGAATCAGGCCTTGGCCACTTAACATTTTCCACCAAAGCTGGGTGGGTTTAGACCCAGTAATGCAGAGGAGTGATGCTCTTGATGTTTGCGTACACCCGTGTCTGTCTGCATTATTCCAAAGTTAAAAGTCCATGATTTAGAATAACTTATTTCATAAACACTCCATTTAGGAGACATGGTGAGATTTGACTGTAGTGAAAGCCACATTTTCCTGGATAGTGATGGTTTTTCCATCAGTATCTCACATGAAAGGGGAATGTGGTTGCTCAGGGTTCATGTATTGGTTGTTTTTGTTGTTATTTGCTTGATTTTGACTGTAATCATGTCATTCAGAAACCTGAAATGCAGATGTATTTGCTGCTAACGTGTGATGTTGAATTTCAGCATCTCACTCCTGTGGCTGCATTCCCATCTTCTCGCTCTCTCCTGCAAACTTGCAATTTAGTGTTTCCTAATAAGCAGTATTTCTACCGTATCATTGTAATATTGTACTTTTGCATTTCTAATAAGCACAGGCACTGCCGGTATCATGTGAGGATTTTCTGTTCTTTACCTAGTTCTGCTTCTAGGTGTGCACATCTGGTCCTTGCTACATTGTATGGCAGTTGCTTTCCCAACAAGCTTCATTTCTAAGTTGTTGGTGTGAGCAATGCTGGAATTTTATCATTTGAAATGTTTGTTTTCTGCTTTTACAGTAAAACCTCATTAAGTCCTCCCGGAATTTAAAGATAGAGTTAAGCTGAAGGGGTTGTTGAGCACAGTAGTAGTCTAAGGGAACCGATTGTGTCTGAGCTAAACACTTTAAAAGCTCTGTTTAAAAAGCGCGCAATTTTACTAGTTGACATGCCAATTCCTTATTAATCACTCTTTTCAATTACATTAAAATAGTTTCAAGGGGATCTTTCTTAAACATGCAATTTACTCTTCATCCTTGAAATATATAATCACAAGTATTTCATGGAGAACTTATTTTTCTTTTAAGTGTACTTACATATTCCACCTAATTCAAACTCTCCTTGTTTCCCCTTATGAATATTAATTAATGAGGTTTTATTGTAGCCTATTTTTCCTCATAGTGCATCTTACTGTGTAGGTTACTTGTTTGCATTTTGGTTTTTGAATTGTTTCTTTGGTTTACAACCTCTTTTGAATCCGGTGAGCCCCCTGTTCTGTTTTATGAAGGCCCAAAGATTCCTATCAAACTGTTCATTAACCATGACATAAAACCAAATTGGACCAAATACTTTGAAGTTTGTCTTACCTTAGAGAAACAGGACATCTTAAATTGGAAATTATCTGCCTGCAGTTAAAACTGCCAAATTTTACCTTTAAATAGTTAGTTTCTATTTTATCATTTTTTTGGCTAAGAATCAAGCAAAAAAAAAAAAAAATCATTTTTTCATCCTTATTTTAATATCTTGACTATGTGCTATAAACATTTTAATATTGATTTCATGTTTATTTTTTATGACCTGCAAGTCACGTTACTCTTCATTTGAGTTTCATATTTGAGATTGTCTTGATTCTTGCACAACCATTGCTTTACTCTTTGACTGGAAATGCTGTTGGTTCTGGGATAGGTGTCTGCCCTGGTGTTCCCTCCTGGGAGAGCCCTGTGCATGTCCTTGCCACCCTGACTGTGGTAGAGGGGAGACAGCGAGCCCTTGCATTCTCAGGCATGGGTCAGGAAGCTGTCTTTTGGGGTGACTTCATTTTTTTTTTTCCTGACTTAAACGTGAAGGGAATCCCTTTTGTTACTTTTCAGATTTGTTCTTCGGCTAATAACTTGGTCATTTCCCCCATGGGTTAGTTTTCTTTATTTCACTAGCTTGTAAGCTCTAGGAGCTCTGAAAGGTCAGGAATTTTAATTTTTTTGGTTTTGTCTTCTGCTGTATCACCAGCTCCTTGAACAGTGACTGGTGTACTTAGTAGGTGCTCAATAAAAATGTGTTCATGAATTTCTAAATCCTGTCTTCTGATGTGTTGGGTACATGAAATGAGTCATCAAAGGTACTGGGCTGATTCATCACCCTCCACTGACACAATGAAAGGGTTTTACTGCTCTTAGGAATGAACTTCACATGACCCTTCTCTGCTCCCCTGTCTTAAGCAACAGTTGCATCTGGATTCATATGATTGCCTTGAACATAGCTGTAGTTTTTCATTCTAGGAGGTTTACACCAGTTGTTGCGTCGATTAGGAAAGCGAAGCAGAGATATACATCCAACCTTAATGCCAATAAAAATGTCTCTTCCACAGTGGAATTCACTTCAGTATTTCTTTCTACAATGTGGTGAGCTTTACCCCTCACAAGTTCAAGACACCACATCTTGTTTCTTTGCGGTACTAAGAAGCTGTGCACCTATACATGGATCCTGTTTCATAAGAAGAAACAGGTTAACGTGTCGTTGCCAATGAGTTTGTTGAAGTAATAGTCAGTCCTCAGTTCCTGGAAGTACCACAGCTTAGCCATTGTGAGCCAAGGCCTTGGGGTCTTTGCTGGACAATTTGTCTTGACTGACAGGACAGCAACCCGGCCTTTAGGCAGGCATCCAGGAGACGTGCATTCACTCAGCTTCAGGGATATGGGGATACGTGTCATTCCCAATTCACTGGTTAAGGTAGGGCAGCATTTTCTTGTTGCTATCCTGCTCATTAATCTCTGCCTTGTCACTGAGTTAAAAGTCTGGTGCTTTCACACACTGGTTCCATGCCCCGAGGGATGGCAGGGCGGGGTCGCCAAACAAGTTGGGTGCTTGTTCCTACCTTCTTGCTTTTTACTTAAATTCCTCTGGCATTTTTATCTCAAAGCCACCTATTGCTTCACTGCTTGGCTATGTCTGTCACCTTGTTCTTGGCTTACCAGATGAAGTGATAGGGTCTGCTGTTAATGTGTTTCCCTCTTCTCTCAGCTTCCTCTTCCTCTCCAGTTCCTTGCTCTTTCCTGTTCCCTCGCATCTCCTTTTGTGCTCCTAGTTTCACTCTTCCTTGTTTGCCTCCACGAGCCTGCTGTTTCCAGGAAATTACATAATGTCGAGAGGGAAATCGTCTGGAGGGTGAAGGGAGTTTAATTTCTCCAAGCCGAAAAGCCAAGTCATTTCTTTCTCCAGAGTTGTTCTCTTAATTGATGTTTTCAGTTCTGAAAGGAGCTGGATCTTTCCTTTCAGTTCTGAAAGGAGCTGGTTTGGGTTCTCCAGGCTATCAGTGACCGAGAGTGGAGGGAGCACCCAGCTGGCATTTTAAGGTTCTTAAGCTGGGGTGGCACTTTCTCTGGCACTTGGCAGCCTCGCTGAGGCCCTGGGGTGGAACAGGTCTCTGGTGTACACAGGGGGTCCCCATGCTCATAGGTTCCTGCACTCACCCACCCTGCTGCTGGCACCACTAAGGCGTCCTGCTAGGAACGGGAAACACAGGTGGGCTGAGGCGGGATGCCCCTCTCCGGGGACAGTGACAGTGCTGCTGTCTGTATCCTTAGTGGTGGCTCAAAGGCTGAGGAAGCTAGATTTTCCTGTGAAGGACAGTGAAGAGCCCCGTGCCCCTGGGGCTGACAAGAACCACTTCCTGAGACCCAGCGAGGACACTGGGAAGGTAAGTGCTACTGATGCCGAGGCCTGAGACCTCCCCTCTCTTGGGCTAAAGTGTGGCCTGTTGCAGCAGGTGACGCAGAAGAGCCACCCTTGAATTCTGTCCCTAAGAGACAGAGTTAAGGGCATGGGGTAAGGGCCCAGACAGTGTATTTTTAAATCCTGTTGCCCACTTTCCATCCTTCTTGGAGTGCTTTCTGAGGGTTTGGGTGGGCTTTCCAGAGTTCTGTCACTTCTGTGGCTTGAGTTCTCTCCCTCCCCCAGGTCAGAGACAGGGAGATCCACCCAGAGGACAGAGGGATGATTTGGTGAAGAGTCGTTTATAGAAACGGGCCGTGCCCACTTACCTCACAGAATACAGACAGATGTGATCTCTGCAGTGCCTCTCAGGTCGTTCCATTCAAGGAAAAAAGCGTTTCTGTCGATTTCACTGTGTAATAGACTGAATGTTTTACAAGCCCCATGTGATGCCACTTGAGCAGCAGTGTAGGAGTCTGAGTTCAGCACGGTTGGTGCCGGCCACTGCCCTGGAACTATTAGGAGGTCAATTTGCGATGCCAGACAGGTTGAGAAAGCAGCCCAGTGAGGCTGGCTGATGTCGGGCTGCATTTGGTTTATTTGAAAGGATCCACTCCAGTGTGTTTGCTTGGTGATGAGTCTAAAATCAGAAAGTTTGCTTTCTAAGTGTCCATGACTTTCCCTTCATTTTATGTTAACTTGAGACCATGAGAGAACTTTTTTCTGTTGTAGAATGTTGCATTCTCATTCTAGAATCTCCTCCCATTCCTGGGTGCTGAGCTGCCAGATGTTTCTGGTTCCAGTGGCTCGGGCCATTCCTGCGGTGGCCACACGGGGCTGGAAGTGGGGAGAAGACAGTGCTCCTTAGCCACAGCCAGGCCCCCAAGGCCCTGAGAAGTGTCTGAGTCGCCAGCCCTTTGCATCCTTGTCTCATGGAACATGGCTTTAGGGAGGACATCCTGGCCAGAGGAGCTACAATAGTTGCATAATTTTAGGCTTAAACCATAGACTTCCTTGGGAAGGAGTTAGGTTTTCTTACAAATTCAGGGTCAGAGGGCCAGGATATCAAGTGTTTACCCCTGATCTGAGTGTGGGCAGTGAGGGTGACCCCTCCCAGCAGACTTACTCTTGGGCAGCCTTCATGGCTGCAAGTTGCAGAAACTGTGTTAGCTGCCCTTCCTCAAGCCTCAGGAGCTACTCGTGCCTCACCCTCACTTGGCCCTCACAACAGCCCTGCGTGGCAGTGATAGGTGCTGTCATGAACATCCCCAACCTTGTTATGTCTGCTTGGGGGTCTTTTCCGAGAATGGAGAGAGGCCCCGGTGGTGCTAGGCCCCTGAGGCTGCAGTTCCCTTAGCCCAGAAAAATCCCCTTCCCTGTGACTCAGGGAACCTTCCCTGCATTTGTTTCACTCAAGGAAAATGACCCGAGGGCGAGATGGAAAGGGAATTGGCTGTTGCCAGGCAGAGCCCTGCCTGTCAGGGGCCAGCAGCCAACTGAGTGATCCAGGAAGTCTTCCAATTGCAAACCAGAAATTGTTCTTAACCCCTCGCTCACTGTCCGTGGCGCAGAGCAAACTCACCCATCTGTCTGAATGGGGTCATCATGCTCCCCAGGCTACTGGGAGCCCTGAGAACTACCTGGGTTCCTGGCTGCTTCAGACCCTATGGGAGCCGTCCAGCTCCAGGGTCTGCCTGCCACTGGGTGCAAGAGAGAATGGTCTCAAGGAGTGGGAGCCACATCCTGTTGGCGAAGAGACCCTGCTTGGTCCTTTGGAGACTTGTCCTTGGTGTCTGCAGAGCTGTTTCTGCTCTGGAGGTCACACATGCCCTGTGAGGACCTGCCTGGGAGTGTGGGGCGCCTGCACACACTGCCAACCCTGATCAGCGCTGCCTCTCTTGAGTGGGTGGTGTCCCCACCTAGCCAGAGGGACTCCCTCCCGGATGGTCTGCGGGTTGCTATCTGACAGCAGCAGCTGGCAGGCCTGGGTCAGGCGAGGGTTAACATATTGTTTATTGAATCACCAAGTAGCTGTCACATGATTTTAATCAAAACACCATTTCCCTGACAACAGTGATGTCAGTCTTGTTATTGCAGGAAGGAGCAGCTGTGAGGGACATTCAGTCTCTGCCGAGCCTAGGTTTGGAGGCTAAAATCAAGTGAAGCACCCATAAATAATGGTTGCAGGCCTCAATGCACCCAATTCAGCCTCTGCTCCTCCCCGCTCTCATGGCCTGTGGGCTCGGACCTGCCCGGCTCTGCACCCTGAGTCTCAGCTGAGAACATACCTTCTGCACCCCTTGCTCCTTCCACCTTGTTTCTACTTGTGGTTTTCCCAGTTTTCCTTATTTCTCTTAACTCCAGGGAGACATTGGGGCCCTTATGTCCTCTAGCTTCTGCCTTTTGGCACCTGTTTCTCCCATGTACTAAATCAGGGCTTGCTGGTGCCCTGTGGGCCTGGGGGGCAGGGATGTGTGTGTGTTGGGGGGGCTTCTGCAGCAGCCTTGGGAGGGGTTGGGGAGGGAAGGAGGAAAGTGCTTGGTCTTTCTGCCTCCCGAGGGCAGCTAGCTGGGTCTGGTACTGCCCTGCCAGTCCTGGGCAGTTCTCGGAGCCTGGCTGTGGATGTGTGAAGGGTAAGAACCCCTCAGGGCCAGCCTTGGGGCAGAGATCAGTTTTCTTGAACCAGGGAAGACTACAAAGTCCTGACTCCAAGCTAACTGAGGATACAACAAAGATAAAAGCCTGGGGACGTTGACCCCATTTGCAGGGCCCTCTGGATAGGGGACCCCGATCCTGAGGGTTCTAGGGAGGCCATTCGTGGCTGGTGACAGGGCTGGTGGGATCAGGCTCTTTAGTCTCCTACGTCCTCTGCACCTCCCACCCCTCCCCACCCCCCCGCTGGGGCTCGGGGCCAGGGTCGCTGTCTCTACAGAGGTCCTCAGGCTCCCCAACTCTCCCTACCCAGACTTTGGACTTAAAAGACTGGAGATGGAGGGGAAAGGCCTCCTTGTGGGATGTGGATTCTTACAGATGTTCTTCCATCTGCTGCCGGATCTTGTCCTGAATGTGAAGAACTCCTGGGCCAAGTGCTTGGTTCTTCACCTGGCACAGGCAGTCAGAACAGGACGCCCCTCTTGGACCTGGGAGGTGATTTCACAGGCACTGGGTCCCATTTTTCAATCTAGGATTGGGACAGTCGAGTTAAATGAAAGCAAGCCGGGTAGTGGGGATACTGACAGGCCTTAGGGGAGCAGGAGTCTTCTGGGGGCTTCCCCGTGAGAGCGCGTTGCCATACTGGGCTGTGGCACTCACCAGTCAGCAAACCCGGGGGTTGTCAGCATTGTGTGTGTGCCCACGTTCCGCTGGGGATAACGAGCTTTCACACTGACGTGGCCAGGTTTGTGGCAGGGCTGGGAGTGGTGCCAGGGGCTCAGAACTCAGGTTCTTTGCTCCTCCCAGGCTGTGCCTGGCAGAGGCTGGGTAGGTACCACCCTGCCCAGAGGGCGCTTCGGGGGGGAACCTGGCCTTTTATCCCTGGGTGCCCTCAATTGCCTGCCGGTGCTTTGGCCTTCCCTTGGCTGGCAAAGGGTCCCCGCTGAACACTGGGGCTTCTCTAGTGATCAGAAGGCAGTTCTCCTGGGCCCCAGACGGAAGCGGCTGAGAGTGGATTTGCCCTCTGCAAGGCCTGTGTGCTTCCAGGAAAGGCCTTTGATTGGTCCTGCACCCCTGCAGCGCTGCCCTGGCCAGCTGGCTCCTACTCCCCTTTATTCCTGCCGTCTCTTGGGGGAGTGAGCAGGGAGATGGGGTCAGAAACAAAGTCTGCCTGCTGGGGAGGGTGACTCACTTCTCCCTTTGTGAGGCCGAATCCCCAGTGTCTCATTTCTTTGGGGCCCAGATTTTCCGAGCTCCTGCCCAAGCAGCTGCAGGGGAGTCCGTTCCCCACGGTGTGGTGCAGTGTCCTTGCCCCCGTTTGGGCACCTAGCGAGCTGGCTCAGCCTGGACCTGGTTTGCCCCTTCTCACCTCTGTCCTTTCAGCCTGGCTCTGAGAAGGTTGTGGGTGGGGGAGGGGGAAGCCCTGGGGACTTCCGCAGAGGGAGGCTGTGGTGGGTTGGAACTGGGCACCTCCTTGCTGAGACAAAGGCCACAGGCACACAACTCCCCATCCTGCCTCATCTGTCTTGGGTTAGTGACCTGTGGTGCTGGCTCCACAGCTGGGCAGGGGCAGGTGTGCCAGTGATGGCACGTGTCTGAAGGGAGGGGCTGCCGCCTTCTTGGGACCACAGCGCTTGTGTCCTGAGGCGTAGCACACAGGGCAAGCCAAGCTTATCCCATCCCTCCCGGGCTGCCCAGCCTCGCCATTTTCAGTGACACCACTGGCAGGGGCTAACATGGAAAGCGCAGAACCCAGCTCTCCAGCTCCCAGGGCGCAGCAGCCATCAGGCTGGCAGGTTGCAGCCACGTGGCAACCAGGACTTAGTGCTTAAAGCGCACAGAGCTTCCTGGTACAGTTCTGTGGCTGTGGGTCGAAGACAGGGTGCTCCACACTTGCAGCCACCCAGGGAGTGTGGGGCAGGCTCAGCAGGGAGGGACCTTGTAGAAGCTGTCGCTGAGGAGCCATAGGATGGCAGACGAGGATGTGAGCGAAGGTCTAAGTTGGGTTGGAAAGTCCCTGAGTTGGGTCCATCTGTGAATGGGCCTCAGGGGACCAGAGGCCAATGCCTCCCCTGAAATGGTATGTCCAGAGGTGTCTACGCAGGTCAGCTTCTTGGAAAGAGGGGCCAACGCTCTTAACAGCATCAGGGTCTGTGAAACCTCACTTTAAGGACCCGTAAGGTAGAAAGGAGCAGCAGGTTATGGGAACAGAGCCATGGGGCCCTGGTTCTGCCCACGTGGCAGAGCCCCAGGGGCTGGGGCTCAGGTCTCCTGGGCCTACTCTCCTCCACCCTGACCCTTTGGCTCCCCGAAGGCCACAGACCCAAAGGAAGTTGGGGAGAAAGCGGCAGTTACTGACAGCTGCCGTAGCTCCAGCCAGTCTCTGCTGGCAGGGCTGTTATTTCTGCCTGTACCCTGGGTATTGGGGTTGTTTTTGGCAACTCAAAAATGATGGAGAAATTTGGTGGGAAAGGGGAAAGTTTGCAAAACATCGTTACTGAAGTCGAGTGCTTGCTTGCTTTAAGAAAGAAAAAACAAAAACAATCGACACTCAGTGTTAACTGAATTCTTGGGTAGCCAACCAGGGTCACAGCCATTTGGGGGCAGAACCGACTGTCGGGAAGGTGCTGGGGCCATAGCTAGCTCTTGTGGGCTCAGCTGGGACAGTTTCAGTGAAACCAAATCTCAGTTAAACTTGTTGCCAGAAAGCAGGATTTAATACTGCCCTTTGCCTCAGGGTCGGGCTGAAAGAGTCCTGAATATTTGAGAGTGGCCCCAAATGCCTCAGCAAATGGACTCGCCAGCACCCGAGGGCACTGAGCTGGCGCTTATTCCGGGAGGGGTGTGTGTTGTGTGGGTGGGTGGGTGGGTGCGTGCTTGGGCCTGGAGTTGAGGCCTTTTGCAGGCCCTGGAGATGTGCCATTAAGACTAAGTAGCAGGGGGCCTCCCCGGTGGCGCAGCGGTAGAGCGCTGGGTTGCGAACCTGCCCGCGGCCTCTGCGGCGCCTGTTCAATCCCCGGCTGCTCCCCGGCCACCAGAGGAGGGTCCCACATGGCGCGCAGACCTCTCCTGTCGCCCGCTGCTCCCCTCAGCAGTGTACTTCGGTCCTTCTGCCTGCTCTGCTCCCCGCTCTGGCTCTGGTGAATTCTCTCACCCTCCCGCGCTTCTGACTGTACCCAGTGCATGTATAAACAAAACAAACAAACAAGCAAACAAATAAATAAAGAAAAACATGCCTCTATTAAAAAAAAAAAAATAAAAAAAAAAAATTAAAAAAAAAAAAATTAAAGACTAAGTAGCAGGGCCTGAGTTTGGGGCCAGGGAAGTGACCCACAAATGGCGCAGCAGACCTCTCCTGTCTCCCCGCTGCTCCCCTCAGCAGTGTTTTTCAGTCTGCCTGTTCTGTTCCCTACGGTGTCTCTGGTGAATCCTCTCACCCCCCAGTACCTCTGGCCTGTACCCCAGCTCTTCCCATAACTAAATCTGTTTTCTTCCCCACAAAGGAATAAGTAGCCGTGCTCGCAGCCTCTGTTCCTACCCGTTCCCCCCCTGGTCCTGAGCCCACTTGTCCTCCCCTCCTGCGCCTGCCGAGAGGCCTTGCCCCACCACCTCTTTGAAGCAAGGCGCCGTCCCTGTCCGTCCGGCAGTCCCTGTCCGCGTGGAGGCTGCGGTTAGCAGTGCTTCCGTCAGCGTTCTGCAGGGACTAACGTGTGCTCAGGCGATTTCAGAGCAAGGTATTATTTACCCTGCTGACGTCAATGAGAACATTATCTACTGTCCTTTTCTGCAGCCTGAAATGAGCAGCAGGGCTCGGGGAACACAGCCACCTTCCACACTTTAAAAACTTCACTCACGGCCTAATGAGGTAAAAGGCTCTAGCTCGTTCTCCTGACACTCATATCAGCCAGGCACTTAGAAAACAAGTTTTTATTTGAATTCAAGAGGGTTGGAAACATAAAAACAGTACATTTTCCTTGAAAAAATTACCCCGTTTAAATTACTGTTTGATACAAAGATCATTTATTAAACTGCATTTTAGGCAATTTTCTAACATTGAGTGACAGGTTACATTTTGAATTTTTTCCACATTGGAGCTATTATGATTTGTTCTCAAAATACCAAAGCTATTGAATTCATCAATTTTTCTTAGTAATTAAAAAAAAAAGCACACAGAAAATAACTACAGTTAGATTAACTTTATCAAAAGTAACTCTTTCACAGACCAAACATCCAGCAAAGATCACCCTCCTCCCTCTAGAAAAAAGCAAATAATCTTGCCCTTTCTACAAAGTGCAAACATCTCTGTATCATTTTATTTCTTAAATTGCAGTCCCAAAAGAGAAGCAAGCTTTTCTCTCTGCTTCTTTTCCCTTCAGAGATTCTGTGGAGGCAGGTTTCTGTCACCAGCAGTAGGGGGAAGCTTTCACCACTTGAATTTCCTTGATTGAGCGAATCTTGCAGATAGATAGGCATCACAGCCAGCGGCAAGCCTCGGTTATCTGTATTTGCTAATGTAATGTTATTCCAATCTGGGGTCATATTTTTCCAGGATGTGTTCTGTACTTCTATTTTTAAAGCTCCTCCTTACCCACCCGCTTTGCTTCTGAAAAGACAAAGTATTCAACCGCAGTATGTTTGTTCACTGTGAAAGTGTCTGATTAGCACTTGTACTTGTTGTTGGGCCTCAGCTGTAAAGCAAGGCCTCCCCCAGCCGCTCCCGGCTGAATTCTTCTCGGAGCAGCCTCCTTTCCAGGTGTGGAGCCCGTTGGCCCCTGGAATGAGCCCCCTGGGCAATCAAGGAAGGGTGCGTCCTTTATCACACACTTCTGTAGGGAACCACCACATTACGTAAAGGGGAGAAGCTAGCATCTATGATGTGGACCTCAACGTCTCTAGCTAACAGCACATGGGAAGGATGGCCACTCCATGGGGCCCATGTCTCCCTCAGCCCCTTTCCTGCAGGGCCATCTGGACACTGGAGGGCACCCGGAGGGCACCCTCCCTGCAGCCAGGCAGCTGTCCAGTGAGAATAAGGCCGCAGGCCAATGCCACGCTCCCCCAGCACTTGACCGGGACGGGGGCTGGTTGTACGGCTGGCTGCTCAAGAAAAGAGGTGAAAGGGCACGCAGCAAGAGGCAGAAAACCCAAGTGTTTGTCCTGGTTCCTCCACTCCTGAGTCCTGTGCCCTCGGATGACAAACCAGAGCCTCGCCTGCCCCCACCATGGAAAGTGAGGACAGTATCTGCCCAGAGAATCGTTATGAGGGTCAAGGGATTACTTGTGAAGGGGCTGGTAAATGAGCGTACACACGGATGATGGCTCCCTTTTGGACAGGAAAGCTGAATGGGCAGGAGCCATCGGAATGGAGGGGCTGGGTCTGGGGGCAGTGCCTGCCCCTCAGTCTACACATCAGCTCCTGCTGGTTCTGCTCGGTGGTTGAAGTCACCGCAGCTCAGCTGTGACATGAGATGGTGGCCCGGCAGGGGCGGAGGAGGGTTTCAGGAGCAGCCAGCCTGTCTTAATTGGGGAACACAAGGCAGCACATGAGGGGCACTGTGAGACCACAGACCCTGGGGCCAAAAGGGCCTTGAAGGGTCAGCCTTCCTTCTCCCCGCGCCTTCCAGGGGCCATGGCTGAGGGTCAGGCAGAGCTGTGTCATCAGCCACTTCCCGGGGCCGCTGGTGAGAGAAGATCACACCACTGACCTGTCGGGGGCCATCCGTGGTCTAAAATGCTTTTTCATCCAGTTTAGAAACAGAGGCAGATGATTCTGCTCTCGTCCTCCACACATCACTCTGAAGATAAGTTCTGTAAAAATTTCCAGAACCAACAAAGTGACAAAGCTCCCTGCCTGTGCAATGACTCCAACTTACTACCTGTTCTCCAGTTTTTACCTTTGATGTCTAGGCACAAAGAAACCGAGCAGCTCGGGTGGCTTCCGAGGAGGCAGTAGAGGCAGCCCAGTTTAGGGGTACGGATGCAGCCAAGGTCAGCCCCCGCACGGGACCGCCACTGTTCACTGGGACCAATGTTGATAAGGACACTAAAGTCTCTAAGGAGGGGAGTGAGGAGTTACCTGGAGTAGTTGTTCCCTTTACGCCCCTAGGGAGCTTAAGTGTGATGGCAGGGGTAGGTGATTAATGTATTCGGGGAAGGGGGGGTGGGGGGGGCTGAGACCCAGGCAGAACCTAGCATTTAAGAACCTGGGGCTTGACTAGAGATGGGGGGACCCTGAGAAAGGAGCCACTCGCTTTTCACGTCCACGTGACAAGCCTGGCCTCACCAGAGGCTGTTCCGGTCCCTCCAGCTTTGACCTCTTGACCTGCACTGAGAGGAAGCTGCTGGGTGGCCACCCAGTCACTCTCAAGCTGAGAGGACACATGTCTCCCAAACCTAACAGAAGCTTCTTTTCTCTAAGCATCCCCTCCTCCACACCTCTTTGGGTTATGGTGAGAGCATGGGGCAGACTGGAGGAGGCTAGTGCCACAAGTCCCTTTTCTTTAGGCCTGTAGTTGGCTGGTGGCAATACTCCCTCAGGGGGCCCTCTCCCTCTACTTGGGGGACTCGAAGGCTGGGGTGGACGTGGGTCCTGATCCAGGCTCCTGCCAGTCCCATCTAACAGACTGCTTACCCACGTGGGAGTTCTTTATTTCTCAGGAAGAAAAGGCCACACTGCTTTGTGTCCTGGGAAGGAGAATACAGAAAGGAAGGGCTTTTGTTCACTTCAGAACTAAGAGAGTCCTATACTCCCATGTGAGGCCTGCTCGGTGGGCCCCAGATGTTTCCCATTAGATGGACAGGGGAGGGTGGTTGGTGCAGAGAATCTTCTGCCCCCTTCTCCGTTCCCAAGGTAACCAGCGGGCAGTGCAGGCCTGGGAGGGGCTGAGGTGGTGACTAGGGATGGTCTGTGTAGCTCACCAGGACTTGAAATGTGCCACCACCCTCTCTGTCAGCGGTTAATGTGCTCTGTTTGCCTTACAGGGACCAGCATATCAGTTTCATGTAAATACTAAAGACACACTTGCCCAACTGGAAATTGCAGAACTAGTGCATTTTTCCCAAAGCAGAGACTAATACCCCGGATTAAAAAAAGAACATAGAAAATAAAGTACCACACATATTGCACTTTTTGTCGAATGAAATTTTTACCTCATGGTCATCTCACCAAAGTCTCTTCAGAGGAGCCTGGTTTACAAGATAATAAAGCTAATGATTATTATACAGTAGTGTACACACTGCTAATGTGAAACAGACTGGAAAGAAAGTCGTTATTTCAAAGTAGCCTCTCACACAGTGGCGCCAGGCCTTCTTAGTGTTACGTTAGTATCTGGGAAGGGAAAACTCACCGGGTCGGGGCAGAGCAATGAGACAGAGGTGGAGGACGCCCCTGGCTGACCGACAGAGCCAGTCTCCTCTCACTAGCTGGCGCGTCAGTTAATACAGATGGTTATGGAACCTGACATCTGCTTGAAATAAAAAGGAAATGCAAACCAAAGCTTACGACACAGGTCCAGCCGCGCGGCCATGCTGTCCACTGGGCCTGTGCCCCCGGGGCTCATCTACTGGTTCCGACGGACCCGGAGTGTCCCCCTTCCCGCTTGGGGACCTGTATCCCTTCAGCAGCCTCTCCGTGTCCCTCCGCTGTTGTCCTAAATCCTGCCGTAGCTCCTAGCTTCCTGGACTCAGGGGGCTCGTGGTCTTGTCAGGGGAGGGAGGCGGGCATCTGTGCCTGTCTGTGACTGCCCTTCTCGACACGCTGAGACGAGTGGTCAGCATTTCAACCTGGAAGGCATCTTAATTTCATGAATTTATAGCTCTTCTCTAGTAAATCTGGGAGAACATCCTCCTCGGTCTAAACAAATCCCGCCCTGTTTTGAACTGGCTCATTTTGCAAAGACTTAAAACACATTAGAAATCTTAACGAAAGGACCTAATAATGTTATTTCATGAAATGATCAATCTTAAGCACGAGGAGGAACAAGCAACCCACAGAAGGAACATCACTCATTCATCCCGAATTGTCGCTGTGTGTTGTTACATCACAGAAGCTGAGAGTCTCCACCCCACCCTTTCTAGCGCCCACGGCCACCGGCGCCAGCAGCAGGGACTGCTCAGGCTGCCAGCTAGAGGCTGGGCGGGCCAGGACAGAGCTCCTCGGGCCTGCCATGCTTTTCCTCGCCTGCCTGGACACTTACTACAAAGAGGAAAGGCAACTTAAAGGTGTTTCTAGATGCAGCATCAGTGTAGTAGTGCTCTTCTTTGTGCTTTAAGGAAGATGCTTTGTGCTTAACACATTCATCTGCTGTTTGGAAAAGCCATTCGAAGGACAGAGTGATCTCCTTTGTCAATAATACTGAATTTGTAACACTTGGATGTTCCTGTTCAAACGACAGATGACTCATGACTTCTAGGTGTACAGTTAACTAGCTGTAACGTCTGTATTTTACTTACTTTGATGAATGAGTTGTAAGGGTTACATTTACCCTCGCAATATCACCTGTTTGGCAGATGAGCTGCTTCAATGGTTAACACATCTGTGGCTTTTGCATATTGCTGTAATACTTGAACATTTCACTGCAAGTCAAAACTTCAAGGAAATTAAGAATGCGACTCCCACACGGTGGAAAACAAACTCCGAAGTGACTTTGGATCTAGCATTGACATACATGGGCAACTTGGTGTCTACAGAGAAGAAAGAATTAAAGCATGATCGGGGGGAAGGCACAGCACTACCACTTCACATGGGAGAGAAAAGTTCATTTTTCTTGCCCTTAAAATTTCTAAGCCCTATAGGAAACTGTCCAAATATACAAAGCTGAAGAAACTACTAGCAACATAGAGTGTAAAGTCAAAGTAGTTATTACATTTAAAAGGAGACACTAGGTCCTCCAGAGACCGACTGTCCCAAACCAGAAGTCTCCACAGAAGGCTGCAGGAAGAAAGAGCCTGTCTTCCCTGGCTCGGGGCTGCTGCTCGCGACCGTCTCTCCCCAGTCTCCACTGTGGTCGGTGCGTGTCCTGTCGGTTGATTCTACGCGCGACATCTCCGGAGCCCCAAGTGCACGGACACCGTGGCCCAGGGCGCCGCCCAGAGAGACGTGTCGTACGCTGCCAGTCTCGGGGGTCAGTACCAGCTGTCGTTAGTGGCCCCCGAAACGCAGCTCACACGCCACTGCTTTCCAGTGGTCTTGGGGACAGCCTGCACCGGCAGCTTAGAACTTTAGATTTAATGACTAAGTACAACTTTCCTTTATCTCCTGTGCATCGAATTTCATTATGGGATTCTTGATTGGCCTTCAAGTAACGCGTCGTTGCTTGGTTTCGGTGGAAGATGTATTGCCTTTTTTTTGCCCATACAGAATGGCACGCGAAGTTTCCTCTCTCACCAAGGTTCCCCTCAGCATGGGTTGGTGCAGTTCTCGTAAAACCCAGTCCGGAAATCTTCTGATAAACACATTTGTCGGTGCCTCCCACAAGAGCATGATCCATTTGACCTAAGTGCGTGACCTTCAGCCTAAAACTACATGCCAGCACTTGCCATGGACGACTGTGGGGGGGCCCTCTGATTCCAGCTGGGCGACTTGCCTTTTCCCCCGTGAGTGCGAGGGCAGGAGGAAAACAAGCTTCAAATGGAAAAGGGTGGAATAAAAATAGAAACACACTCTTCCTTCACCTGACCTGCCTCACCGTCCGGGTGGAGGTTAATTCACCAGGACGTAGCCGCTGTGTTGCGGGTCCACAGCCTCCAGCATCTCACAATCGAAGAGTCCAGGGAACTCGGACAGGGCGAGGGGGTCGTAGCCGGAGGGGGCCTCCTGCAGTCCTGAGCTCCGGGGACAGTCGGGCGCCGCCATGCCGCTCTGCTGGGCCCCCTCCATGGGGTACTGACAGGGAGTGGAATAGTCTGGCTCGGGAGGGGCAGCACCGGGCAGCTCACAAGTCTGGTAGGGGAACTGCAGGGGCGCGGGGGCCGCGCCCGAGGGCTGTGGCGGTGGCGGGGGTGGTGGCGGCGGCGGGGGCTGCTGCAGGTGGGCGGGCAGTGGCGGAGGGGCCCGGGCGCCCGGCGAGGAGGGCAGGGGCTGCAGCTGCATCTCCTGGTACTGGCGGAGGAAAGGGCTGAACTGCATCTGCTCCGAAGCGGGCTCCAGGACGGGGCCGAGGGACGGGGTCAGGCCAAACGGCGGTGGCTGCTGTGCTGTCGGGGGCGTCTCCTGGGGGGGCAGCTGCTGGCTCGGCTGTGGGTACGAGCTCTCTGCTATCTGCATCTGATTAAAGTATGCCTGCAGCTGAGACTGCTTCTGGAGGAAGAGTCGCTTCTGTTGGAGTCTAAATTGGCAACACCAAAAGAAAGAATTTTAAATCTTCTTGACTGATGGCGATTTTAATGGAAATCCAGCATCAGTCATGAGCTTCGGTCCTCCTACTTCTCTTTTCCCCGTGGCAGGAAAAAAAAGTGGGGTAGGAACCCATCGTGTCTGCTTTCTTAAACCCAATCTTTTTTTTTTTTTGCTCCCCAATTCTGACTGATCCCTCAGTGTTCAAGTGAACACAGATTCATTTTTCTCTAAGACTCGGTTTTCCTGCCCATGAGGCGAGAGGCTGATTTGCCAGCTAGAGGGTTCGAAGGGGGGTAACACCTTGGCCTCGAGGGTGTCTGTCGGTGGATGGATTAGGGTAATTCCACCTTGGCCAAGCTGCTTCTGCCAGTGAGGCCGGGGGACACCAATGACTGCAGGGGAGGATGAGGCCTCTCTGCAGCACACCCCACTTAAACTGCATTAGGTCCCAGACTCTGAAAGCTTAGGTCTCTTCATAACCCCCAGGGGAAACGCTAGAAGAAAAGGAAAACAGAGCACATTTTAGGGCTGCTTTTCCCTGACAGGCCCATGGTCCACAGACATTGGAATATCCAAATCGACGCTGTCTTGAAGACTGGCTCATACATCAAACCTAGTTTCCTTGGAGAGGCAAACACCCGGAAAGGACAACACACCCGGCATTCTTACGTCTTCACAAGGGAAAATGACTTCCTTGGCCAAAGACTGTCTCTCACCTGTGCTCCTGCAGCTGCTGTTCAAGGCTCCGTGGTGGTTCTTTACAATAAAGCTGACAGGTGTTCGGGGCTTTTGACAGGAGGCTGGGCTTCTGCAAGGAAGAGCAAACAAACAGCACAAGCGTGACCCTGAGGTAACTAACTATGTACTGTCATCGAAGGCGCCGTCCCCAGGTTGTACTCGGCCTGGAGGATCAAGTCAAGTGTGTCCTCCCGGTCAGCAGGCCTGGGCCGTCTCAGCTCTGGCCTACTTCAGTTCTCCTCCCCTGAAAGTCCTACGGGCATGTGAGGTTATGGAGATGAAACACAACAAGACAAGCGGAGTCAGATGAGGAGAGTAAGGGCCGCAGTACCTGCTGAATGAACCAATGACTCACTCTTTATGGGATCCATGTTCTGTCTTTTTAAAGATTTTCAGGCCCCAATGCAGAGAGCAGATATGAAAATTCTGCAGACTTGAGATTTCCATTGCACACATTATTAAGAGGCAGAACACTAGAAGCAGCCAGGTTTCCCTTTCCTACCACTCAGCCTCAGTGGTGGTGTCCTTTCCTGAGGGCTGAGGACAAATCCTTGGCCACTGCCAGTACAGCGCAGTAGACTAAGTTTGAACATGTCTCTGGAAACTACAAGTGCAGAGTCAAACCTCCCTGCCTATAAGGAATCTACCCTTCCAAGAGAGTAAGCAGAACAGGTTTCTGCAGTGCTGAGGCAGCTGCTGGACAGGGCGGGGATCCCACCTGGAGTCTGTGCTGCAGGTACTGGGCTTCCAGGCTCTGCCGCTGGGAGAGCTGCGGGTGCACGCTGCTCGGGAGAGCAGAGACGCTTTTCTGCTGCTGAGAGACTTCCTCCTAAGGACAGAGAGGGGGTGAAAACATTTTCAGTTCTCCATGTGGGGAAAAAGTTTCAATTCTTAGTTTAAGCACCTTGGCAAAAATCCAAGAGGAACTCCAACTCTGGAAGACACAATACACTCACAGCTCTTTACATAAGTAGCAGGCTGAGAGTTAAGCGGAAAGTTCACACATGCATTATCAGTGGGAAACAATTGGTATGGGAGCAAAGACTCTTGTCATTAGGAGGCCTCGATACCCCTAGGCACTGAAAATAGGCTCAAAATAAAATACATCAGGTAACCAGCAATATTTTTTTTTGGTATTTTTTAGCATAAATATTCCACTTAAAATATTTAATGACGTGACAGCGCATAAAGGTAGTGGTGACAAGCTTCTCATTTGAGTTCTAGTCTATCGTCTTCATTTTTATGTGTGTGCACTGGGAGAGAGGGTTCAAGAGATATTATGAGGTAATTCACATAAAATCTGCCCCAGGGCCCAAACACACCTTGAGCATGTCTAGGCCTTCAAGAGGTGCTGGTCACCTGGGGCCATCATGGACAGGGTAACCGCCTGCGGCAGGAAGTGCCGACTAGGAAAGCTCTCAGAACATGGGCTTTCCACAAGAACCTGTTTGCTCCAGGACCACAGGTAACACCTCCTAGTGAAATGAGTCATCTTAAGGACACATTTACATCTCATATTCATGAAGCCTTTGTGAGAAGGGCCCAGAGCACACACCTGAGGGCAACTGCTGGCGAGGTCCTGGAGCTGAGGAGCAGCTGACGCCATGTTAGGGTCGGCCTCTGGTCCTATTTGTTCATACAACAGCTGCACTTTGTTCAGCTCTAGGATTCCTTTGGTTCTTGCCAGATTCTGAAGATGTTGTCTAAATGCTACAATGCCTGAAAGAGAATTGAAAAAGCAAAGAATTTAAATAAAGCAGAAGACCCTTCAGTGACCACAGGTGTGAAACCAACATGGCCACCAACCCTTTCACATCCTGCAGGACATGAGGCTTAAAAGCCACAAGAGAGAGCAGGGAGTCACCTTGGGTGAGGGAGGTATCTGACGCGCGGCGGCCTTCTCGGAAGCTCACAGGTGACCTGTTGTGGGCCTCCCGCTTCTGGGCGCTCAGAGCCTGCATGGCTGGGTTGGCAGGTCTCAGGCTTATGAAGGGAGATGTCATGCGGGGTGAGGGCTGATTGGCCAGCATGATGTCCTTGAGGGAAGGGTTGTCCTCCAGAAAGTTCAGGTCCCTTTGAACAGACCCCATATCATACTCAGAGTCAACACTGTCAAGTGAGGGGTTGTCACTCATGGAGAAAACTTTCCCTTTAAGAGAAAACAAAGCAGATTAGACCAACAGCAAAACGCATCTTCTTTGAACATTCCATATTGAGTCTTCACAGCTACAGTGTCCTTCATCTCCAACCACACATCCTTTCAGAGCCTTTTCACATGTCAACTTAATCAACTAGGAATTTTACTGGGAAAAATGCTCTAGAACCTGTACCCATGGATCTCTGCTACTCCTAAAAGCCAGAGGCCCTGGGGAGTCACACGGCACTCAGGTGAATCCTGGGAGTTAGGGGAGCCAATTTAGAGTCACTGCAGTTTAATCTTTGCCGCTGTGCAGCAGGACTAGTCCTACATTCTGCCCAATGTGGTCCCTAAAGGAACAAGACAGACTGTTGCAGGCACTGCTTGGCGTCATCACCACGTCTTGGAGATGGGAGTGTGAGCCGATGCCAGGAAGACTTAACCTGGCGCTTTCCCGATGTCATACCTGAACCGGGCAGCACGACCAGCTGGTTGGTCACTTCTGACAGCGTGTGCCGGCGCTGCCCACTGCGTGTGGACTGGAAGGCGTCAAAGGCCTGACTGGGGTCTTCCTCAGCCTCTCCTTCTGTCTCCAAGCCTTCATCGATGGAGGTCTCCATCATGTTGCTGGGCAGTGACTGGCACCCTTTCCTTGCCAGGACAGGAGGCACTGGGTCCAGCAGACAGCCGTTGACCTAAATTCCAAGTGATATGGAAACGATCAGGGCATGCTGTGGTGAGATGGTAGGCAATTCCACAAAGGAAAAAAAGATAACAGTGTGGCAAGTTAGAAATTAAGTAAAATATTAAAAATGTGTATTTGCTAAAGATAATTTGTAGATTAGAAGTTAAGGCGAGTCAACGGCAGCACTTGAGACAGAAGCCTATTATGACCCCACCTGGCACTGCCTCCCAGGTTTCTCTGAGTCATCATTATTACAATAAACCATTATTTAAGTGGTTTCTAGATGAACAGGGTAGAGTAGGTTCAGGCCTATCAGCCACTACTATTTTTTAAATAAGGGAAACATAAAGGGCTGGGAGATTTTAAAAAAACAACAACAAACCATGGCTTGTAGCTAAGAAAAAAAGAATAGGCAAGAGCATTCTTCTGATTTTCTATCACAAAACATACTGGAAGGTTCTAGACATACTTTTATGGTGATAATTGAAGTACCTGCCCATTTGATTCAGTCTTTAATTGGTTCTATGTGCCTGAGGAATGGAAAAAAGAATTCTTTAAAGACAGGCTGATACCACAAAAAGGATTTGGAAAAAAAAAAATCAAATGGCAAACAGCCAAAGGCTTCCATTATAGAATAACAAATGACTCACAGGCCCCAAATTCCAGCAGAGGTTAATGAGCACCAGCGCACTGAAATCTCTCTCTCCTCCAGCAACACACACTCTCCGTGGTCCCTGCTGCAGGATGAGTACAGAGCAGCTCCAGGGCCAGGACCCGGCCCTTCTTGGCAGTTGCCAAGCAAACCACCGAGTGGCAGGCAGAAACAGCAGACAAAGGGGAGTTGTGGCTGCGAGTTTGTCTGACAGGTAAAAGCCCCAATGAGGAGGCAATTATTTACCTCATTACCTTAACTATTCCCCCGTGGAAATCAACCCGTTTTCTCCTATGAATTAGCTGCTCAGGAACAGCCAGTCAGGAGACGCTCAGTACTTTCACCTGGAGGACGCTGGGTAGAGCTATTGTTTCCTTTGGAAGCAGGAGCAGCTCATGTATGTGAGAGGTGACGTGGGTCAGCCCTGTGCCAGACACAGGAAACTTTCCTCTTATGGCAACCAAGCAGAAGGCACAGCAGGCCCTTTATTTGGAGAGGGAGACTTGGGTGACTCAGACCTTTGTTTGCCTGGGGGAGGGGACAGTTATTCCCCAAAACTGTTGCGGGTGGAGAGAGCTGTGGCATTGCTTGGATCAGGTGGCTCATGCCTTCGGGAGGTTTACAGTGAAGAGTGGTCACTTTAAAGGAAGAGCAGCAAATGCTGTCTTCCCAGGCAAGGCCCGAAGGCACCAAGGCTTTCCCCAAGGCACCAGGAAACAACTCTTCAGTCTGCACTCCAGGCTCCACAAGGTCCTTTCTCAGTGTATTCATACCTTCAGTGTCCTTAACTAAAACTGATAACATGTCTTTAGGTTAGCCAAGGATGATTTAGAAATGAATAAAGAAAGCAACAGAGAAAAGACTGTTGTTAAGTAATTATCTGCTAAGCATCTTTATACCTATGGCCTATGGAGAAATCTCATCAGATTTCTTGCAATACAGCTTCCAGCAGGTTCTCGTTTTTTTTTCCTTAACAGAAAAGAGTCACCTTTTCCTGAATACTTAAAAAAATCTTAGTAGCCTCAAATTTACATTTTTTCTCAAATTGTCTGCTCATAAATGTACTCCCTTATCTAGAGTACAAGAGGAATTATGTCCTTTAAATTATGTCTTTTAAATTATTTAAAAAATGTTTGCTGATTTCAGTTTCATCCTAGAACAGGCAGAAAACAATGATCTGGCTTTTAAGATGATGTTCGGATGATTAAATCAGAAAGCGCTGTGTGGGCTGCTCATCGTTAATAGGTGTGAACAGCCTTCAGCAATAAGTCCATTTCCTGAAACAGGTGCTAACCATGCCACCCTTGCCAACTTACTACCCTGGGACTTGATATAACAAGGGTCTAAATTCAGCACTAGGATTTTTTTTTTAAAATTTTTTTTTAATAGAGGCATATTTTATTTATTTATTCATTTATTTGTTTGTTTGTTTTGTTTATACAAGCACTGGGTACAGTCAGAAGCACGGGAGGGTGAGAGAATTCACCAGAGCCAGAGCGGGGAGCAGAGTAGGCAGAAGGACCGAAGGACACTGCTGAGGGGAGCAGCGGGCGGCAGGAGAGGTCTGCGCGCCATGTGGGACCCTCCTCAGGTGGCCGGGGAGCAGCCGGGGATCGAACCGGCGCCGCAGAGGCCGCGGGCAGCTTCGCAACCCAGTGCTCAACCGCTGCGCCACCAGGGAGGCCCTCAGCACTAGGATTTTGTGAGCAAAATACTGGGCTGATCTTAGATCTTATCTAGGTTGCTAGAATTAAGATCTTTTGCTCTAGGAAATAATCTAGGCTAAATGTAAATTACAGGACTTAAAAGCAGCAACAGCGAAACACATTGTTTTTGTCTTTCCTTAAAGCTCAATCATTTCTAATAAGAGACCACGAATGTGCAAGGCTCTAACAGGTAAATACCCCCAAATCTACCACAGATACAGATTCTAGCACGGGAAGCTGGCAGATTGCTATACAGAGCCACCCCCAAATTCATACATAGAAACCCTAATCCCAAGGGTGGCTGTATTTACAGATGGGGCCATATGGAAGTGCAGTTAAATGATGCCATAGGGTGGGGTCCTGATCCCATTGGACTAGTGTCCTGATAAAAAGATATACCAGGAAGCTCTCTCTCAAGGAGGGCACAGAGGAAAGACCACGGAGGACACAGGGAGAGGCTGGCCCTCTACCAGGCAGGGAGAGAGTCCTCCCCAGAAGCCTAACTGCTCAGAACTTTGATCTTGGACTTTTAAGCCTCCAGAACCTTGAGAAAATGTATTTTGTTTAATTTGTACCCTAAGTGTCCACAAGTTTGCTATATATTTGAAGAGGTGCTCCATCTCTTCAACCTCAGCTCCAACCTCAGCACCATCACTCACTAGCACATGTCACCCACCTGTATTATTTAATCCAAGAAAACATGTCAAAGTAATGTCATGATGGACAAATTAATGTATTATCTATCCCTCTCTGGATTTTCCATGCATTGATTGGTTTTATTTTTCCCAATTACAAATTAAAAATTCAATTTCAGGAGTGTAGTATTTCCTTTTCTAAACTCTACTAAAGAGTTTGCCACATGTACATCCTTTCCAGACCCTCTCTTACTACCTTTCCAGACCCTCTCTTACAGTAAGAAGTTAATAAAATGTAAGCGGACACGGGACACCTCTACCACGCTCCCATTTTCAGTTTAGCCTCACAGTTCCCTTCTGCTATCCAGCAATGAAGGTGGTAGCTTGGAAAATCTTTTTTATTACCGCTCACAAAATGTTCAAAGTGACTGAACTGTGTGTGTGTGTTTCTGTGTGTGTATAAAAAATTCATTATTCCCAAGGAAAAGGAAACCCTCAAAAGAGAAAGACTGATCTGCAAGCTCAGTCACTGGCCCCAAATGGTCGACACCCCTTGGGGTGTCGGTTTCTGCTCAAATAGGGTGACTGTCTCAAAGAGGTCACCCTATTTTTTGAAGGGACCCCAAAGCAAACTTTGCATGCAGACTCCCTGACAGATTTTACTGAGGTGTAAGCAGCGGAGAGCTTCTGGGAGGAAAGGAGAGGTGACATCTCTGGGGCGCATGCTACCTGCCACTGAGTAGAAATGAATAAGCCGCACATGCAGCCATGACACGTCTTCTAGAGACAAGTGGGTGTTATGTAAATGCATATGACGCTACATGAGCAACAAAGGAACTTTGTTGTTTATTTTGCGGCTAGTTTTGTGTGTGTGCATTTATTTATGGGTCCCCACAGAAAGAGGCACTAGGGACAGAAGAGGGATAGGCGTTTTTGCTGACATAACTGAAATAGTCCACAAATAAGACTGGCGGTATCTAGGGCCTGGCTGGATGCCGGGGTGGCACTGCCAGTGTGGGTGGCCGGGTCCAGCGTGGCACTGCTCCTCCTACAAATGCAAATACACCATCTAGCTACTGTCTGTATCTTTCACAAAATCATTCATTTCCTGTCTGTTTCCTAGTTACGGTAACAATCACAAGCTTTAAAAATAGCTTGCCCTATATAATACAGCAGACAGTGCCCAATCTGTGTTTTGGGCCTGATGCCCTCACAGACAAGTTTTTAGCAGACTGCATTTTAATTTTTTGAAGGGAATTAGATCTTAAAAGTAAATGAATTATGTTGTCCCAATTTGTGTCTAGATTTCTGGGTGAGGATGTAGTAGCAGTTTATATGGTTGCTGAACATGCTGGTAGCAGAGAAAACAGACCACCCACAGGAGGTGACCTGTCCTCAGGGGCATGGACACTAACCCCTCATGGCCAGCAACTCAACACCTGCTAGGGGCAGCCTGGCATCCAGCGGCCTCAACCATGGTCTAGCTAAACTCATAATTTAACTTTTGATGGGCTCTACTTTTACCTCCCTGGTTCTGATAGTGTCATTCTCCCTCCAGTCATCTGTTTCAAAATACTGTCATCACTGTGAACTTCACTCAGGATGCTAATACGCTACCCATTCTGCCTGCACCATCTTATTTGATCACGGGAACTCTCCTAGCTCAGGCCCTGACAGACGCATGCTGTACCTTCAACTTCTTGCCTCTGTCCTAGCCCATGCAGCTATGCGCTCTTCCAGGCTAGTTTCTGACTCACGAGGTAGATGGTAGTGCTTCCTGGATCAGAGGTATTCCATTATTTCTTCCAACCTCAGAGCAGAACATTAGGAAAAATCTCTGGATGATACTGAAAGACATTCCAAGGTTGGGAGTCCTAGTGTCAAGAAAAATTCTAAATTCCTCGGCTTGCCATTCAAAGCTAACCCATTTGTGTTTCTTTTGTACATTTCTTCCTCCTGCCCCTGTTCCACAGACACACTGAGCTGCTGCTCCAACTTAGACTGGACCCAAGTCTTCCTGAAGCTCGCTGGGGCTCAGCTGTCCCTATTTCAATAATGTTTTGGCCTGGTTTCCTGCCACCTCACTCTGCCTACCTCCCAATTCCCAGCTCTCACTTTCCTGCTTGAATGGATTAAAAGCAACTGCCATCTTCCAGCCTGGGAGCATGTGATTTATAGGTCTTTAAGCTATTTTGCTGATGTCTTCAGCCCCTGGTACATTGTCTGTAGTTACTAGGTACCATCTCTTCTGCTAGACTATAAACTTAGAGCAGAATTCATACCTAATTTATCTCTGTTATTACCTAAACAAGTTAAAATAGACAGGAAACTGATATTAATTATCTACAATCTTTCCAGAACCTCACACACATTAATCCTTACAAAGGTCTCATTTTACACAACACTGAGGTTCAGAGAAGCTAGTCACCTTGCCCAAGTTCTTGAGGTAGCAAAAAACAGAGACTGCTTTGAACAGACTCCCAAGACCTATGTTCTCTGATACACTCTGTCATTAAGATGACGCTTTGCATATCATGTGATGCTAAGTGTCTAAAACACAAAAAAGAAGTCAGGTGGATATCCATTAAATGGGAGAGGCTGTCATCTTCCATACGCTGCAAGCCAACTTCTCACACTTCCCCAGAATAACCTTTTCTCCTTCAAGCACGTCCAAACCAGACCAAAAAAGACATTTAAATGACCAAAAAAGATGGTCCATCATTTTTAGCTGCAGCGCACACAGAAGAGAAACAATACGAACAATTCAGCACAGCAGTCATACTTTTGTTGTTGGAAGTACAATTTGTTTCCAAAAAATATTCCAAAAGTCGTGCAGGGATCTAGAAACTTGGAGAGGAAAGAGAAAGGACAATCACAGTTGCAATGACAAGACACTGACAAGGTTATGTTGGGACCTGGACACTTTTTGTAGGTTCTTCTTTACAAGCTAACACTCCTGAGGACGTGAAGAAATGACAAAGTTCAACAAAGCCAAAGCACGAACTGAAGTCTCCAGCAACACTGCAAGCTCGGGGTGTCTCAAGCCCGCCCGTACCTTTGGAGTGTCCACACACTCTTCCTCCATGAATGCTGCTTCTGCCTGGCAGCTGGCCGCTGAAAACGAAAAGGCCTCCACGTTGGATGCTTGTGGGAGGAGGGTGGATCGCATCACTCGCATGTTTGGGGAATGCATGGTCACGGGGAGCCCCACGGTTTGTGCCTGGAGCACGGCAAGGACAGAGAGTTTGACAAGATTAATAATAATTTATATTTGCAAAGTAAACAAAATTCTTGGAATGAAAGAATTATTCCTGGTGCAATGAAAGGATAGCCATTGGTCAGAAACTCTAGAAAAGAACTGACGAAACATATATAGAGAACAGCTATTGGACTGAGGCAGTCTCATCAACCTGATCCTGAGGCAGGTTTTGCAGAATTTCATTCCTGTTCCATGGGAAGGTGCATAAATTTCATAAGGATGACAGAAAAGGTAGCCTCTGTAAGGATTTCAGTTCAATAAATGTTTATTGTGTATTTTCTTCATTATATTACCCTGGGAAAACATAAAGCATAGAACAGCCCCTGTTTCCAGAAGCTCAAAACTAAACCAGGGAAAGATGTACATCCTCACAACTTCCTCACAACACAGAATGTGGAAATAAAAGTGATCTACCTCCCTGGTGGATGAGGGTATATATGACAAGGGTATGTGTGAAGAGGAGGAAGGTGGTGACAGGAATGTCCTTGCAGGGAGACATGCAGCCTGACCACAGCCTGTGTGAGCAGTGGTGAGAGGCCTATTGCTAAGCTTGTGATGTGCCTCATGTCCACCTCCTCTAGCCAGTTCCCTCGGGCCTTAAGTCCATTCTTCATACCTCCTTTGTTAAAAAACTATAAATAAACAGGATAACAAACTCTCTTGAAAAAAAATCATTTAAAAGGAATTAAAAATTCCTTTCTGATCATTGATGAGAAATGATTTTAAAGGTGAAACTTGGGTAATCGTTTCCTCCCCATCTCCTCAGAATAGCAGAATAATTTATTAACAGAATAGACATTGCAAACATCTGCAGGAACAAATCATCACGCGGGTTCTGAAAGGCAGAGGGATGGCCTGTGTTTTTTATGCTAGAGCCACTCAGACGTACAGAATGGTGAGTTTTAAGTTCCAACAAATGAGAAGAAACAAGGTGGTATGATTCTAGCTTCTCTCTCATGATCTGAGCTTCTTTCCTGGCTCCATCACTTACTAATTTTTTTTTTTTTTACATGTCTATATATTTTTTTAAGATTTATTTATCTATGCATATAAGAACTGGGGTATAGGCCAGAGGTGTGGGAGGGTGAGAGGATTCATCAGAGACAGAGTGGGGAACAGAACAGGAAGACTGAAAACACTGCTGAGGGGAGTAGTGGGCGAGACAGGAGGGTTCTGCTGTGCCATGTGGGTAGCTCCCTGGCTGGTCAGGGATTGAACTCATGCTGCAGAAGCTGCGGCTAGCCTCATAGTGCTGTGCTTAACCCCTCGTGCCACCAGGGAGGCCTCCATCACTTACTAATTGTGGGACCTTCATCAGGTTACCTACCCTCTCTCTGGATCTTATTTCTGTGTAAAGGGGTAAAATACCTATTTTACAGTGAAGTTCAGATTGTGAAAGGTAAAGTTCCTCAGCTCAGTAATGTTAATTCTTCCTTTTCTCTTCTTTCTAAAGTTTTTAAATAATCATAGGCACTTAATATAGGAATTTGACTGCAAGATGAATACAGAATTTTGTTCTCATATACCCTCCAACAGTCCGGTTAAAAATGTTTCAGGTTGATGGTTTTCAAGGATGGGGCAATATATTACAAACATACATCTCATACACACACACACATACACACACACACAATATAATCTGAATACATTTAGATTATACTGGGTATAATTCAATATCAACATCCTTAGATATATAGTATGTGATAAAGAATAAAAGAGCAACAACTTGGATGGTAAACAAACAACAACAAAAAAATACACCGCAAGCTCTTCTGAGCATGATAAAGAAATACCATTTCTTATATCATCATTCCTCAGAGATTTATATCTTAGGTCACTTTAGAGGCCAAACAACTTTCTTTCCCTTTCAAGCAGAGTCATTTAAAATACATTTTTTGAGCACCATAATGTAAAATTGAAACTTGTAATGTAGTAAATTTGAGAAACAGACATCAAAGCTCAGCTTTATCATTTGATTGAAAACCTAATGAGGGTAAGAAGAATGTTCCAAATAAACTAGACTGCTTCTACCTTAAGAAAGGAAATCATTAGGAATATTGTTAAGAGCTGCCTCTGAATCACTAAGTGCCAACAGTCCACCTCTGACATGGTCCTAATACTTCCTGCCCCTTCCAACATTTTAGTTCAAGCCTTCAGTACCTCTCGTCTCAACAACTGTAATCATCTCTTAACTGCTCTCCCCAAATTTCTTCTCTTCCCTATCAATCTATCACTCCCAACCTTACAGATTAATTAGCTTAAAGCATGGATATTAAGTCCCTTTTCTGCTTCAGCCTGCAGTAGTTCCTTATTATTTCCTGAATTGGAAGTAGACTCTCTACCTTGGCGTTCGCAGACCTTCACCGCATGCCTTCAACTTACCACTCCAACTTTCTCATTTCCCCAGACTTCAATTCAAGTGCATTACTTTTAACAGGCCCCCACATGCCCACTTGAGCACCAATACTCAAGCTGCTGCTTCTGCCTACAAATAATGCCTGTGACTCCTGCCTCTCCCTCATCAAGTCCCACACTTGTGAGGCTCTCTCTAAATGCCTTCTCCCCCACCAAGATTTTCCCATCCAGACATATCTTTGTTGCCCTTAGTTCTTCGATAGCATTTATCTTTATTATGATTAACAATTATTTATGATGTTGTCTTATTTTTCTTCTGTACTGTCATGTCTTTGAGGGCAATAACTGTGTTTTCTATCTCCTACCCCCTAGGGTGCTGAATAAAAGAAAACTGCACACGGTAAATCTGCAATAACAACTTGTTAAATGAAATTCAATGTACAGGAGAGCTACACTGATTCTCATGAGAATTCACACGAGAGAATAAAATAATGAAAAATCTCTTCAAAAAAAACGCTTTGAAATAAAGTTAATGCTTAAAACAGGAAGGGTCTAAGACATTTGAGAATCCACTAAATGACAGAGGCAGAACTTTACAGAAAAACAGAGAGTAGAGGATAAAATCCTAACCCTTTGTACCACAAGATGAAAAATGTGTCAAACATGTGAAAAGGCACATGCATGGATGAGACTATTGGCTAATGGGGCGTTACCTTGGCAACTGTTTGTTCAGCCACGGTGCTCGGCCGGCGCTGGCGGGCGTCAAGTCTCTGCTCCACAGGAAAGCTGCTCCTATGTGATTTCAGGCGCTCCACCAACAAGAAATAAATGGCAGCAAAGTGGTTATAGCTCTTGTTCTCCAAAGACTGAAAGAGAGAACAAGTGCTGAAGGCAGGGAACTATAAAAACCAATGCAAACATCTACACCTTTCTAAAAGAGAAAAAAGGAAAGAAATCATATTCTGAAAAACAGAAAACAAAGGAAGTACATGCTCAGAGTGAACCGAGAATGGAAACAGACACTGCAAGTCTCCAGCAATATTCACATCAACTGTGATAGCTTTAAATGACTTGACCTTTCACCTGAACAGGATTCATTCATTTTTTCTGCATCCAGAGCAAATGCCACTGTCTCATATAGACGTTCCCCAAATGGGGTCATACGGTCCCATCTCAGGGCTGTAACTATGGTGTCAGGTCACTTAGCAACCTCAGCCCAGAGGCTCTGATTCCATAGCTTCAACACAAGTCCAAACCATTGAAAACTCTGAATGAATGATTAGTCACTGGGGAACTTTCTGGTGATTATTTTGGGCTGGAGAATGGTATTTGGATGCTAGATGGAGAGACACTGTGTCTCCATGCTTAGGTAATTTTTTCCTCTTGTTTTTGTAGTCCCACCCTCTTGAATCTTTGAAAATAAAGTTGCTTCCCAATTTTTCAAATTCTTATTGGCCAGCGTTCCCAGGATACTCATGGAACAGAGAAGTAACTGCTCCTCCGGCTTCTCGTACCACCTGACATCTGCAAGTGCACCATCAGGGAGTGCCCATGGCAAAAGGCACAGGCCAGGGGTTCTGCATGTGCAGCTGCTGTGCGGGGTCTACCTCATTGACGAGGACAGACGCACATCCCCGAGCCCGTAAGGAGCAAAGCAGGAAGGCCATTTTGGTTTCACTTATGGCTACGATGAAGGAAGAGGCAGCACAAGTTTCAAGTTTGGTTTTCACAGTAAACAAAGGGGCATTTTTATTCTCTCTTATTATGCTTCCTCCTTAAAGGCACTGTTTGTTTTTACTGTGTGGAGGTATTAGAAATATGTATATGCTGTGCACTTGCTGACTATTAAAGGGCAGGGAAAAAAAGCCAAGAGGAATTTCCCAGGATCGTGACCTTCTCAGCTCTATGGCCCATAATACTTCCAAATCAGGAATCCACCTGTTTTTGCCTTCTCAGTTTCTCCAGTTCACAAGCTAAATCCCCCTGGCTTTCCTAAACCTGACGCCTCTGTGCTAGTTTCCTGCTCAGCCTTAGCCTTGTCCTATGTCTGCACATATATGTTCCATCAAACTAGTTTATGACTCACACAAAACTTTATGCTTCATCTTGGAAGAAACTTTTTACCTTGTTTTTGTTAAGCTCTCATCTCTGCTTTTCTCAGTCTTACATAGGCCCTTCTTCTTGAATTTTTAAGCAGGTTGGGCAAAGGGAGGACATTATACATTGAATCAAAGCAACCATAATGAGTGTGATATGTAATCTTCAGGGAAAGGGAACAGTGTGCTTAGGGGCTGGGGATGCCCATGCTCCAAGACCGGGGGCGGGGGGTGGGGTGGTGACTGGTGCGAGCATGAAATTTCAAGTAACCAAGTACAACAGAATCCTAAAACACCTTTAATCAAACCTCTGGCCAACCTACCTCTATGGTTTTCTGTTGATCTATTCCAAGGCTGTGCATCAGTCTCAGAACCTGTTCATTAAACTCCCCGATGGATGGCTCATTTTCTTGTCCTTGTGGATAGAGAACAGGTCTCTGTACGGGAACTTCTACGAGCATCCACTTATGTTCCTTGATTTGAGCTATGGTTAGCCGTTTAGATGGGTCTAGAACCAACATTCTTCGAATAAGGTGCTCACAATCTGTGCAAAACACAATGTCACAAAAGTCACACAAATCACCTTGCATGTCGGTCTATTTCCTTGACTCATGGGACTCTGTGCACAGTGTTAACCTCCTCCACAGTGTCTGCTGGAAAGCCAAGGTCAAATGAGGAAATGAAAACATAAAGTCTACTTATATTTGTCAAGTTCACATGGTGAATGTTGACACATAAAATTAACCATTACAGAGAACGAATACTTGAGAAAAACAGAAGGTAGAAGTCTATCCAATTCTGTGCTAAATGAACCTTTCTATGAAATTACTCAACTGAAAGCATCTAGACACAGACATAGATTCCCACTACAGGAAAAACAAGCCTCATTCCCAGAAAAAGCAAACAATAAATTGATCTTTAGTCACTTCTGAAGCTGAAACACTAAGGCTGAGTGTGAGGCAAGAGCTCTCCAGTGGGTTGTGACTTTTCCCCACAGGAGTGTGGCTGAGAAACATGTATGTGGACATTATTTACCCTGATGACACTGAGACGACTGCACTGCTGCAGCCTTGGGCACGAGCTCTTTAACCCCCCACATGTGCTAACCATGCCCCACTGGCTCAGCGCTTCATACAGCTTAATTTAATTAATCCTCACCACAGTCCCATTAGGAACTATTGTTAGTTCCATTTTATAGACTGAGAAAATTGAAGCACAGAAAGGAGACAGAACTTGCCAAAGGAAGACAGCCAGCAAGTGTGGACTGAGGAATACAGCCAGGCAGTTTGGCTCGAAACTCCATGCTCTTAACTACTAGAGCATGTTTTACTGTTACGAGGCATAAAAGAGTTAATGATAACCAAAAACCAAGCTAATGTGTAAACTTAAGTGTGTTGCATTCAATGTAACAATCCAATACAAGGCTGGTAGAGATTATGATATTTCATCTTAAGTCAACAGCTTTGCCAGTCGGTTTTTAATTTAATTAAAAATTTTAATTTTGCAATTTCCTGCCAAAGGATATGGGAAAATCCACTTCATACTTACAGTAAAATGGTTGTGAATCTGTATCTACAAAGTGCTTCTCTCTAAGTTTAAAATAAACCTGGGGCATATATAGACCAAGAGTAAACGGGAGGAGGTCTTGCTGTTCTTAATGTGAGAAACGTTCTGTTTTCAGTTACCCGTAGGAAGGCTGGAACTTTTCTTACCTACATGGAGGGGGCTGCTTATTTCTGTAGCTTTTTAAGTGACTCAGTCAATTTATTTAGCACCCAAACTCATAGAACAGGGAAGCTCCTGCCTAGGGATTTCATTTGAAGCACAAAATCTGTAAAGCACAATGAATGAGGTTGTTACCTTCTGACATGAAATATGGAATCCGGAATCTTCCTTCCAAAACCCTCTGCCTCAAAATTGGAAGAGTTGGTCCATCGAAAGGCAGAGCTCCACAGACAAGGACATAAAGAACAACTCCCATGCTCTAGGGAACAAAACAATGCAGTCACTTTTCCCCTGAGAACTTCAACTACTGTTTTCCTAAATATCCACGGAGCTCTAAAAATCTATGGACTAAAGAATTCCTGCTTTGAATGTACCATTTTCTCAGAATTTGAAAAAAATCTGAAAAACTTACGACAATAAAATATCTAATAGTATCGAGAGATCTGAATTTATTCATTTTGATTACTACTTAACTTTAAGTTACTGCTGATATTGGAGTGATAACATCTGTCCCTAGAAATTGTTCCCTAGAATCCAATTCAAGATGCTCTGGCTAATTACAGTTCAGCAGACCGGGAAAGTAGGAACTACAGCCTATTTGTTAGGTAACAAGAGCTTTGAAGAGGGGCCAGGATACCAAGTATTACCGTTACAGATGCAGTAAAAACAGCAAAACAAAGAAATACCCAAATATCCAGCTGTGGTCCTTCATACTGCTGCCCTTCAAAGACTTCGGGGGCTGCATAAGGGGGGCTGCCACACCACGTTGCCAGCAGTTCACCACTTTTAAAGAAATTTCCAAAACCGAAATCTGTTGGGATGGAAATAAATGTTACTTTCATCTATGTGCTCAAACTACACAGAATTTCTCTGTAACAAATTTTATAAGATGCTGGACTAACAATGTCATTACTATTTCCTGTGTGAGGAATGCTATGACATCTATTTTTTTTTTTTAAGATTTATTTATTTATAGAAGAACTGTGGTACAGGTCAGAGGCACGGGAGGGTGAGAGAATTCACCAGAGAGAGCGGGGAGCAGAACAGGCAGACGGACTGAAGATACTGAGGGGAGCAGCGGGAGAGACAGGAGAGGTCTGCCACGCCATGTGGGTTTCTCCCTGGCCGGCTGGGAATCGAACCCACGCTGCAGAGGCTGCGGACAGCTTCACAGAGCAGTGCTCAACCCGCTGCACCACTGGGGAGGCCCAACATCTATTTTGTGATGTTTAATGGGCACTCAGCATAATGATTAGCAAATATTAAGTATTTCAAGGAATATTTGTTGAATGGATGTGTAAACAGAATCACGTTTTCTTCTCAAAGAGAATACATAAGAAATTGGAAAAAGACCTTAAATATCATGTATTTTAAAAGCTGTGGACTGCTGAACTGAATTTGATAATCTTAGCATTTCAATTACTCTATGAGGAAAAGCATTTTCTCTTACATGGTCTAAAAGGAAGGCACAAACAAGCAACACTCTAGAATACTTACCTAAACCTGACTGAGAGGTTGGCTGCTCTTACAGCCATGACCCCGGGGTAGCAAGATACAGAAACTTTTAGGTTATGGGGTACAGAGTTTCCTAAGGAACAGCTCTAAGTTTGGGCCCTACATCCTCATTTAGGCAATGACCATCTGAACAGCTCATTGCCATGTGAGAACTGTACAGCCACAAGCCACTTATCACCATATCATTGAATTTCCCATAGATGGGAGGTAGTGACATTATGCTTCCAGATAACAGCCTCCTCTGATGTTATTAGTCATGCTGAATCAACAGCTTTCCTACATAGCATGCACCCTAGAAGCATTGTATCAGGAGGCTTCAATATGCATGACAACTGTGAGCTTTGGTCCAAGTGCAAGCTTGTTCCCTTTTGCTAAGCTTTCAGTCTTTGTTCTTCCTTAAGAAACAAATTCTGGGCCTCCCTGGTGGCACAGGGGTTAAGACACAACCTATGAAGCTATCTGCAGCCTGTGCAGCACAAGTTTGATCCCCGGCCAGGGAGCTACCCACATGGCGCGGCAGACCTCTCCTGTCTTGCCCGCTGCTCCCCTCAGCAGTGTATTTCAGTCAGTCTGCCTGTTCTGTTCCCCACTCTGTCTCTGGTGAATCCTCTCACCCCCCCACACCTCTGGCCTGTACCCCAGTTCTTGTATGCATAAATAAATAAATCTTTAAAAAAAAAAAAGAAACAAATTCCTACTATTTTGTAAGTTACAGTCACATTGTCCTGTGTTGTCACACACTCCTGACTGAAGAACACTGCCATTGCCACAGGAGCTGGCTCTGCACCCAGCCAGTGCACAGCAGAGCTTTAGGGGGGTACAAGGGGTCTATCAGTCTCCAGTGCCAGGTGGACTGGCCAGGTGCCTTCCATCAAGCTTTGTGAGACTTAGTGTCCCCAGCTGTTCAGCAGGCTGCTGTGGGGCTCCACTGAGTTAACACAAACTCCAGCTCTGTTCACATGCTGAGATTACACATACATCTGAGGTGGAATGTTCTCTTTGCCAGCTGGTGTAAAAAGTGGTGGCAACCTCCAACCACAGCTTCCTGGAGGAGTAGGATCCACGCATTTGGGAAGCACTGGAGCTGATTTCCAGGTCTGCCACTTACTAGATTCAAGTCCTCCTTGGTAAATTATTTGACTTTCCTGAAACTTAGATCTTGTTTCTTATATATGTGGGTGGGGACAATCCACCTACCCAGACAGGGCAGTGTGAGGATTAAATAAGATTAAAAATGTAAAATGCCTGGGGCATAGCAGATGTGAACCTTTGAGTCCCTTCCATGAAGCTGTCATTACCAACTATCACCTTTCAGAGAAAAGGGTCCTGAGAAAATATACTGGAAGGGCAAGAAAAATATGGCAGGAGCTAAATGGCCCAGAAGAGAAAAGAAAGTGCCTTAGGCACTGACTGAATCTGGTGGCACACCACTGTGGCTTGTGTGGCACCCGGAGTCAGAGGCCAGGAGAACTCTCCCCACAGATTCGACGGTAGTTCAGTCCTTCAGCCCGCTTTCCAAAACACTGTCAGAGAGGTCTCAGCCCTTCACCTCTGCCTCCATGGCTACCCACTCACACCACATAATAACTCAGATGTTCATATAGATACGTGTTTCTAATATTCTAGAAAAACTATACTCTCAAGTTCTCCAGTGAGTCAAGGACTAGATATTCAAATAACATTTAAGGAGGGCAATGTTAATTTCACTCACAAAGAAAAGCACAAGCAGCTCTGGGATGTGTTTGGAGATCCTGAAATAGGTACAATAATTGCTATACTTTAACCCATAATCACAGGATGAGTTCTAGCACGACTTGAGGGTACTCTCCAAATAGCATTGTAAAATTTGAATGTCTCAAAGACCATTAGAAAGCTCCTTCATTCCCAACCTCCCCAGTCTCTGGGGAAGGACTAAGAGGAGTGACTGGGACAATAGCTGGCAGGGAGGCGGCCTGGCTTCTTTCTGCCTGAGGCAAACTCCCTGGCAGATTCATGGGTAAGAGAACAAGAGCCAGGCCTTCCGTAGCCCAGTCTCAACGATAGCTTTATTCATCTAGGATAAAGAAAGCTTCCCATTGACTTATAAATGTGGTACAAAGCAGATGCTGACTTTCATTTCCTGTAGGTAACTGAAGAACCTAGGAGCTTGAGCTGCAGGAACATTAAAAGAAACACTGAAGACAATCAGGTCCACTAAAACTAGTATAGTAGATACACACATGTCTTCTGTAAATCTCTTAGGGCACCTGCGTGTTGTACCATAATCATCTGACATATGGATTAAGGGAGACCTTGGCATCAGGAAGATAGGGATCAATTCTGGGTTTCCCACTTAACTGTATGACCTTGGGCAACTTACTTAAGTTCTCTGAACCTCAGTTTCCTCATTGGTAAAACTGGGACACTATCTATTCACAAAAAAGCAACTATATATGTAGATACAAAGTTCTGCATAGGTGTACTCATATCAAAGTAGATTATATATGCTGCTTTACACAAGCTACTGAAACACATTTGGTGCTCAATAAATAGTAGCTATTGAGTAGCTACTCAAGAGAACAGAAAGAGAACAATTCTTTGTGTTTTACTTATCTGTCTTCCCAATCACACTAAATCCCTGGAGTTGGGGGAGTTGGGGCAATGATACGTGTCCGTATGCCCAGAACTTAGAATTCGGTCTACAAACACCAGCTGTTCAGTAAAGGTTTGCTGAATGGGGCCTCCCCGGTGGCGCAGCGGTTGAGCGCTGGGTTGCGAAGCTGCCCGCGGCCTCTGCGGCGCTGGTTCGATCCCCGGCTGCTCCCGGCCACCGGAGGAGGGTCCCACATGGCGCGCAGACCTCTCCTGCCGCCCGCGGCTCCCCTCAGCAGTGTACTTCGGTCCTTCTGCCTGCTCTGCTCCCTGCTCTGGCTCTGGTGAATTCTCTCACCCTCCTGTGCTTCTGACTGTACCCAGTGCATGTATAAACAAAACAAACAAATAAATAAATAAAACATGCCTCTATTAAAAAAAATAAAATAAAACAAGCCTCTGACATTTAAAAAAAAAAAAAAGTTTGCTGAATGAATATGCTGTCGTCTTTTAAATGTGCTTACCATGTGCCAGAAGCTGACCTAAGCTCTCTGAAAATGATTTCTTCTTAATAACCCTACAAAGTATCCTTATCTTAGGGGAAAGTGAGGAGAGAAAGGTAAGCACCTTCCTAGAGGGTGTATAAAGTTGCAGAACTGGAACAGAAACCAAGTCTGCCTAGAGCCAGCACTGTTAGCCACCGCCTTTCTGTCTTTCTCTGACACAGTGGTACGTAGCTATTTTTGAGCAAGTTAATAACTGTCAGGTTTAAGCAGTGGCAAAAGAAAGGCACTTAAAAGTTAGTCTATTTCTTTATGGGAATGTGGATAATTTGCTTCATTACAGTCTGCAGCTTTTGCCTAAAGCATGTAGTGAAACAAAGGGGAGCGAAAGGGACAAACTGGCATGCTCAAACACAATTTGCTTCTTGCTGCCATTTATTCAAATGGAATGGCTGACTGTTTTTTCATGCCAACCGAATCCATTCATTCCTTCTTGAAACAGTTGAGTGCACACACATTTCAACCACTGTGCAAACGCAGAAGGCAGTCTCACAACAAGAAAATAATAAAAAAGCCTATTTTATCATCCGACTTTTGGAAAGTATCATGAAAATAACCACTCTTCTCTTTCACGCTGGAAGCAGCTCCTGCTAGGCCTTGCTGAAAGGGAAGCATCTTTCGAGGCTAATGTCTTCTAAAGATCTGATTTGTGAGTTACTACCTAAACTGGTGACTGCTATGTCCCTCAGACATTTTCCTTCCAGTTCTTCTGTGATAAAACTTAGGTAATGTTGGATTCGCTTTGACATTATTTAACTTCTAATTTGGAAACAATTTTAGATTTCCAGAGAGTTGCAACAATAAAGAACTCCCCTGATGTTAACATTTCACATAACTAGATTAGTATAATAATCAAAACTACGTTACGCTGACTTGATACTCTTAACTAAACCATGGACTTCAATTAAGACTTCATCAGTTTTTCCACGAATGCCCCTTTTCAAAAAAGTTTAGAATTCCACAATGTGTTTTGGTTGTCTTCTATTTGTAGCAGTTTCTGGGGTTTTTCTTATCTTTCATGACCAAGAAGAGTACAGGTCAGGTATTTGAAGATTGCCCCCCAGTCTGGGTATGACTGGGTCTCATGGTTAGATTGAGATCATGCCTTTTGGGGAAGAATGTCACCGAGGCTAAGTCTCTTCTCTGCATCAGGCTGGGAGCA